GTCATGCTGGCCACATGACCTGGAAGCTGTACGCTGGCTCCCTCAGCCAATAAAGCAATGAGCACCACAACCCCATAGTCGTCCGCGACTGGACCTAACGGTCGGGGTCCCTTTACCTTTACCTCCCAAGTCCTAGTGTATTTAACCACTAAACCATGCTGGTTCTCTGTTGACAGCATCTTGAATGAATTAGTAATTATTGCTTTGCCCAAGCAAGCTGTCCTTTTTTCTAACCATTGGGTTCCTGCCATCTGCACCTACCACCCCTTGAAAGGAACTAAGACCCTTCTTTCTCATTTGCTATTTATGATCTTTAGAGAGAAAGGAGTGTTTAAATGTTTTTTCAAAAGTGTAACAGCAGTGTCCAAAGGAAAATGCTATCTAGCTATATGAACTTCTCCCACTTCATCAGTTTGGTTGGAGCCATAGGAAAGTTACAGTATTTTTTTAAACAAAAATCTGCAGGTAATGACTAACTAAACTTCGTAGGTTAACCTTTGATTTCTTATTTAAATATGCTGGAACTCAGGAAGTGCAAGTAGACTTTGCTTCCAGGTACAATTGCTGAAGCCTGCGCTAAGGGGCTGAATTTCTCCAGTTTGCCAAAGGATTTTATCAGAACTGTGAGATGTAGTGCCACATCATAAAAACCAAGGGAGAAGGAAGGGGGGAAATCACTGTGAATTTGAAACTCACAGTTCTAGAAAGACCTATCTTCCACAGCTCAGCTGCAAAAAGGCAAAAGGTGAAATCCATTGGCAAGTTTTCCTAAGCAAGCCACAGTTATGTGCATTGTAGCTCCTATTCATTTAAGAATATTCTAAGAGGCTGGCTGCTAGATAAGGCCAAAGTCCATGGGCATAGCCGGGGGGGCACCTTTCCATCAATTCAAAATCCATCAATTCAAAATCAATACAAATCTGAAGTTTTGCCCCCCCAAACAAAAGCTTGCCCCCCCCAAAAAAACCCTGCCCCCCAAAAAATCCTGGCTACACCCATCCTGTTCTCACAGCAGCCAACCTGTTGCTGCAATGGGAAGTCCAAAAGCAGCACCAACGCTCTCCCCACCTGTGATTCCCAGCACTTCAGCAAGAGAACATGCAAAGCATGAATGTGTCAAGCACACGTTTGCAAACATCTCTGTGCCTGGACTGGCTGCAACTTCCTGCTTCAAGGATACACTCAGCCTTGCCTCTCTATGTAAGGTGTGAAAAGTTCCTCAGATCCAGAATTTAAAGGAAACATGCCTTTATTTAATTTTGTGCATACTTGTAGAGGGGAGGGTGCGTGCTGGCAAATCTTAACACTCGCCAACACTTAAAATCTTCAGTCATTATTATTATTATTATTCAATGCCTTCATCCGAGGATCACAGGGTGGTTTACCATATAAAACCAGTCATCATCACATGCTGGTTTGGTTGTAAGTCGCTCTGGGCTGCCTAGGGCAAAACCTAGTATTAGTATTAATACTAATACTAATACTGCTGCCTCTTTGGCTCTATACCAGGGTTCCCCAAACTTGGGCCGCCATCCACTTTCGGACTACAATTCCCACCATCCCTGACCGCTGGTCCTGCCAGCTAGGCATGATGGGAGATGTAGTCCAAAAGCCGCTGGCGACCCCCCGTTTGCGAAACGCTGACCTACAGGCGGGGAAGGAACCATCGCCTCTGCCCATCCCATCAGAGAGGCTCCCGGGGGCTTCCTCTGTGCCCGAGTCCTGCGATGACGACAGGGGATTTCCTCAGAGCATGTGCAGAGCGCCTGCTTCCTTTCCCCTCCCCCGCCCCCCTCCTGACTCGAACCAGGCCCCCGAGGTGGGGCTGGAGAGGGGACCGAGCGCTCCGCCTCCTCCGCCGCCTCCATTTTTTTTTGCCACGGGTACCTGCTGGGTGCTGAAGTCCCATCCCAAGTAGCTGGGCTCGGCCGGCGCAGCCATGGCGGCCTGAGGCGAGAGGGCCTCGCCGTCGTCTTCGCTTGGCGGGAGGCAGGCCCGGCGCCCGCTTTTTTGCCTCAGCGCCGCCTCACAGAAACGGCTCGCCCGGCCTCTCTCCTGTGCCCAAGCGCCGGGCCCTGGTAGTTATTAACCCGCCCGCCCTGCGGCCCCTTCGGGGGCGGTGAAGGAGGACCCGCCTCTCGCTCGCTCGCTCGCCCAGGCCCGGGGGTCGAAGCGGCGTTTTGGTGGCCTCGTTGCCCGGTGTGAGCGGCCTCTTCTCGGCGGCTGTTTTCCTCAGGTTTCTCGGCACTTCAATCCCCACACTTCTTAATATACAAATCACACAGCAAATAAATGGTGTCGGTCAGGGCACTTAAGAGGAAATTATTATTATTATTATTATTATTATTATTATTTATACCCCGCCCTCCCCAGCCAAGACAGGGAAATGAGATTAAACTATGGTCTCGTTCAGATTAACAGTAAAACAGTTAGTTTGGAAAGGAAAGGAAAGGGGGAAACGCAAGGTTAAAAACAAAAGCCTAGCATATCGTCACAAGAGGCTGACCCAAAAAAGGGGGCTGGTGGCTGGCAATGGCTTGGCTGCTGGAATTCAGATTCAGAAGAAGGGATTTCCATCCTCAAAAATAATGGATCTTGGTTGTTGTGTAACCAGCAAAACTTTGGCCTCAGTTTCAATATATCAATATGCTGCCATGCCTCACTCATAATGGCTAACGACGACAAGGATTTTTTTATTAAAAAAATAACAATTTGTGTTTAAAAAGGCAGATGGAAACCAAGCTAGTCATTTCAAAAGAATTTAAAACTTATTTGTTAAAAAAAAGAATTAAATGAACCAACTTTAATTTTTTTAATGTACAGTAGAATAAATCAAATTACATTGAAAGAGTAAGATTTTCTTACTCGAACAGTGTTCGAAGTATGGTCACACCAAAGATTTTCACAACACCATTATACAGAACTGGCAGATTTGTTGTAAGCCAAAAATAGCTTATCTCCTGAGTTTAAGCCAATAAAAACCCAGAAATGTGAGGAGTTAGGAGCCCAACATTGTTTATTGCAAAGCAATAGGTTACAGTCGGATCGTTCTGCAAAACTGCAACCATGCCCGGTGGTTCAGGCAGTGGTATTTATAAAGTTTCAAACAAAGCATTTCAATTTTCACCAATTGTACATCATTACCTTATTTCATGTTTAATACACATGCACAATAAGCACTGGCAATTTTGCTGATTCAATGTTGATTCCCACCGTGTTTTGTTACATTGTGTTACTATGCATATTGGAAACCTGTGTTACATGTAGCCATTTGCACCATGTAGCAACTTATGTTCTAGCTTTCAGCTTTATATTTGTGATTCACATACAGTGGTGCCCCGCAAGACGAATGCCTCGCAAGACGAAAAACTCGCTAGACGAAAGGGTTTTGCGTTTTTTGAGTCGTTCCACAAGACGAATTTCCCTATGGGCTTGCTTCGCAAGACGAAACGTCTTGCGAGTTCTTGCGAGTTTGTTTCCTTTTTCTTAAAGCCGCTAAGCCGTTAATAGCCACTAAGCCGCTAATAGCCGCTAAGCCGCTAATAGCCGTGCTTCGCAAGACGAAAAAACCGCAAGACGAAGAGATTCGCGGAACGGATTAATTTCGTCTTGCAAGGCACCACTGTATTGGCTGTATTTCTGCCCCAATTGGGGGCAGCTACTTGCAAAATCATCAGTTTCACAAAGCAACAGGTTACCATAACTTCTCTATTAGAAATGCACTCAAGGATTTCCAGGGGTCCACATTATCACATTTATTGTGGCCCTTTCAGTCCCTTTCCTAATGATCTCTAGCAAGGACTTCACAGTTGCCTCCTACTGCGTCAACATATTAATTGAGATATTCCCCACAAACTCAAGATCTCTTTCCTGGTCAGTTACCAACAGGCCTAAGCCAGGTTTTGAGACCCTCTTATCCATTTAAAAAAAAAAGACAAATGCATGGAAAGAGAAAAAGGTGCCCCCCACAAAAGAACATTGAGTCGTTTGTTTCTATAATCAGCTGGTCTACGAGCACATTGGTCATGGTCTAATCTTGTAGCATCATTTCTATTAATATTGGTGAAAGTTTTTAACTCTAATATGAGAAGGGTTATTTGGTATTTGGTAAAAAAGTATTTTACCAAATACCCGCAGATCTAAGGAGAGAGTGTGGGTCATGTTTTGGTTTGATGCACATAAAAACAAGTTGCAAAACTTATTGAATGGCCCCAAATTAACAAGCATCTAAATCGGAGCCACTCTTTGAACCCGAGGCCCAAGCCAAATGGCAGTATGCATGCATGGCATGCAGAAAATAAACAAGAACAGCTTTTCCTCCTAACACTGAGCAGCTGGGCCAGACTGAGAATAGCATAGTGAAAAGATACCCAACAATGGATGTGTGAAGCCTGCTTGACAATTGTTTTGCTGTAGAAGTATTGCACTAAGTCTTGCAGGGCAGGCAGAAAGCTAACACCCCCAAAGTTTGACCGCAGTGTCCTCCGGCTTAAAGAAAATAACTCAGCAGTTTTCTACTGTGAACATACCTAAAGCTAGCAATAGAGTAACAGTAGATTAAGTAGGTCTTTTCATTTTGCACGTGAGCGTTATCAAACTCTGCTTGAAAATTAATGTTGACATTGATTAGAAGCTACCCAATAAAAAGTCAGGCCTTTTTGCTTTGCTCTTCAATGGGCCATAATACAGAACAGCAGTTTCATATTCAGTACTTTTTTACTTAAATACCTGAATTAACACCTAATAAATTATTTTAATTTTATAGACAAAAGTTGACCACCTTTGCTGAACTCAGAGCCAACCCTACTATTAGGCAGAGTGGAGGATATTATCCAATCACTGGTGATGAAGTAAGATTCAGCTAGCATACTGCTTGGTTTCTGTAAGTGGAATGAGGGGAGATTTGCCTCAGGCAGCAAAATGTCTTGGGGAAGCCATGGCTGTGCCCTGTTTAAAAGTGCCATCCTTTGCTTTCCTGTTCCTAAAGATAGCATAGTCAGGGCTGGGTAACAATGACACACAGGCTGCATATACATTCCCCCCCAAAAATAATTATGGGCACTGTAGTTTGTTAAGCAATGCTAGGAATTGTAACTCAATAAGTGGTGAGCTACATTGCCCAGAACCTTTGAGGGCGGAAAAGTGCTTCAAATGTGTTTTAAAGATATCTGTACGCAGTCACAGTCCAAAATAATATTAATATTAACAAAAGCAAGTATTACCCCTATGGAGGTTATCCAGAAGGTACGTCTCTCTTTTGTACTGTTCACACATTTCAGAACAGGAGTGCATATTGCTGACTCCCATGCACCTTCACAGAGGTTCACATTCAGTAAAGGCACACAGGGATATCAAAGTTTCTGCTGGTTTTGCCTTCTACAATACAAATAGTCTTTAGTGGACAGGGGCACCTTGGAGAGGGAATGAGCAGGACCAGCTGCTATATTGTTCAAAGAAACAGTTCAGGATGGGGAAAGTGTTCCACTTTAAGGACTATCCAGAAATGTTCCTTCTTCATTTGAATTCTTCTATCGCAGCCACTCTGCACATTGAGAAGGACTATTTGGCAGAATCTCCCCTGGACTGTTCCATGTTTTGCACAGTCTTCACAGTGATCTACACTGAAGTTAAGTAGTGTTAAAGAATAAAATGTATTTGTTAAACTGTGAATATACTATTTATGTCGCCAAGATCCAAAAATGAAATGTCAGGCTTAAGGTCAAAACAACCACTGGAATTACATAATTCTACACAGTGCTTTTTTTCTGGGAGCACTCAAGGATAGGCAGTACCGGCACCCTCCCAAGTGTTAAAAGTGTGCACTTACTGAATAACGCAGATGGAGACGCTTTCCAGTTCATCAAAATCAGCTTGTGAGATACTACTCAGATTAGACTTCTGATTTTTGCTGCATTCTACAAAAAATGAAAAGGGCCCAATAGTCCTCCAGTGGCCTCAGGTAGGTATCTTCTAGCAGCCTGACTATGCCCCCACCCTCCTATCTCCATTGGTATTACTTTCCCCTGGAGGACTTTTTTATTAACTGCTTTCAACCTAGTGTTCATTTTATTGAGCTGCCCCTCCATAGGCATCATCAATTCTTTCTGTGTTTCCATCACTCCGGAGCACATTGATCTGTCAGGACCTCTGAATATATAAACCCTTAAACCAGGCATTCCCAACCTTTGGCCCTCCAGATGTTTTGGACTACAATTCCCATCATCCCTGACCACTGGTCCTGTTAGCTAGGGATCATGGGAGTTGTAGGCCAAAACATCTGGAGGGCCACAGGTTGGGGATGCCTGCCTTAAACAGTCCAGGATCACAATACCTCAATGACTGTCTCTCCTCATATAGAAACACCCAGACCCTGCAATCCTCATTTGAAGCCCTTCTTTGTGTGTAATATGAGGTTGAATGCAGGTGTAATGCAGGGATGACTCAATTAATTATGACCAACAAATGAGAAGTAGCTGAACTTCTGCTCACTCTATTCCACATAGCTTTTGCTAGCCTTACTCGGTGTGGAGGTGGAAATGTAATGACAAAAGTTCCAAAGATGCAGCTGAGTGTTTTGTTCCCATCATTTGTGGGTAACTGTTAAGCTGAACATTTGGTTTCAGTTTTCAACACTGGGCTATGTCTAATATTTATTTAAAATATCACAACAAAGAAGGGGACACCTAGAAATATGATACATGTCTTGAGTTCCGGTTACCGGCTATTTTAAAATATTTATTTTAAAAGTTAAGGGTATGGGAGAAGTGATTGAATGAAAGAGGATCACTTCTCACTAAGGAGGAGTGCACCTGCATATTGTTTTTTTGGATAACACTCAAGAGATAACAGTGGTTTCGATTCATGCACCTAATGTGGAACAATTGTTTTTCCTGTGGAACGTTTTAAAAAAACCCAACAACAACAAATCTTTGCTAAAGGGGATATAATTACAGGGGAGTTTCATCTAAAGACTTCATTCCATAGCCATACTCAACAGAAGAAGAAAACAGATGAGAGTAGAAAACAGATGGATGCGTCATTCTATGGAATATTGATAGGGTGAAATTGGTACAAATCAGAAATCAATACCCCACAACAGAAATGTACAGTACTTGTGGACAATCGAGAAGCTGCGTATTACAATTTCCAATTCTATGCAACTCTATGTCCTTTACATTTTTTTATCTTAATATCTAGGAATAGGAGATGAATAAAATAATAATAGTTGGGGGGGGAGCAGCAGCAAAATAGTTATCACAGAGTTTACCACAATAATAATCAAATCTTATAAAATAAATATGGGGAAATTATATATAATCACAGCGAAAGTGACATGCTGCCAACATATAACTGTGTCGCTTTAAAATTAAAATTGCTACATCAACCAGCATCTTTTAGCCTTTTGTGTGCATTTGGCTGTGTTAAATGAGGTTTTGTATTTCACTGTGGGTTTTGGCAAGGCTTCATATGTTTGGACTTAAGTCAACACTGGTTCCAGCTGAACAGCTCCTGTCATTAACTTTGCTTTCAGAGGTTCAGGACACACTGGATGTATTTGAAGCAAAGTTGATATTTCAGTTGATTGAAATCAGCAGCTCTGCACCAGGTACTGAAGGGAATCCAAGCAATGCAAGAAAGCCATTGCCTGGCTCGTGAGTGACTATTTCAGATGTTACCAACACCCTTTGCCTTTTGGCAAGCACAATGAAGGAAATGGTCTGCTTTTGCCTGATTTTGTCTTTCTTATGGGAACAGATGGTGAAGGCTTATAAATATATGGGTGGTATTTTCTTAGTGACTCATCTATCAAAGCAACGAGCCTCAGACTGTTCCGGGCAGCCAACCAAGATGGACGTAAGCATGCTTGAAGAGCAATACGACAGTCTAAAACAGAAGCAAAAACTGCAGACACACATTATTGTGTTTAAAACAGGTAAGTTTTAGACTTGGCTAAAACTTTAAAAACAAGGGGTCCACAAAAAGCCTTGAAAATGTTCATTGATTTTTACAATTGCACTAAGCTTATGCTCACATTTGAAAAGTTAAGTACAATGTCTTCATAAGAAATAGATCCGAGGTACCTTACAGAGTAACAGATGTATTGTGGCATACGCTATGCAGTCTGCTAATCTTTAAGGTGCCATAAGACTCTTACTGTGTTTGCTGTAACAGATGGACAGCCCAGTCCTATGCATGTTTACTCAGAAGCAAGCCCCACATTGTTAAATGAGACTTGCTTCCTGGTAAGCTTGCCGAGTTTACAGCCTTATTCATCTACTCCCTATGGGAATTGTTTTCACATTGTTATGCACAGTCATAATAGTTAGCAAAGCCAAATGTTAACACTTCTTTCATGTTTGTGGGGGGAAGAATATCTTTTAGATAAATGTGCTCTGTACTATACTTATTAAATGTGGGTCTTGTCATAGCACAAATTTCAGCTTCAGTCCACAAAGAAAGCCACAGCTGGGTATTATCTTTACTAGAATCAGCTAAAATGCTAGAAAATAGTGAGCAAACTTTTATGCTCTCCAGAACTCTTGTTCAGGTAGGATGTTTAGCAAAAAACGACAAAAGAGGAAAAGGGGCGAGGTGGTGGGGGGAAGCTGAACATGATGAAAAAGCCCCACTCTGAAACTGGTAAGTAAATTAGTCTTAAGAGCAAAATACATTTCAGGTTGTACCAAGAGTTATTGGGACAAAGAACCACCAATGGCTGTTCCCCCAGTTTCATTAAACTATAGAAGGAATTGTTACTCTGATATGTCTCTAGTACTCAACGTAAGAGATAATCTCACTGATACAGCAGAAGTGACTAACCTCTCCGGATTAGAGCTGTTTTGTATAGAGAATTGTTGCGTTAGTCCCAGAAAGTGAGATAAGCAATGTAAGTAATTTCTTACGTTTTGTTAAATTAACTGAACCAGGTAAAATGATGGCCAAAAAGAGATGCTGATGTGGAAAAAAGTTTGGTAAGGAGAATTTGAAACACAACTTAAGGGTAAGCTCTTTTCAGGCTTACCTCCAAAGAAACATGGAAAATGGGATCGAACTTATTTTCGACCAACCGTGTTTGATCCAGTACAAAATCACTACGGGTTGTCTTGGGCAAGATAAAGTGACTAACAAATTTAATTAATAAAAAATTAGTTTGCTTGCATGATGTTTCTTAGAACAAAATGTTAATTATGTCAGATAGCATTTACATAGATGCTATCCATTGCTATCTACACAACACACAATACAACAGTATGTAACCATTTTAGGTTGCAATCCAGTGCATACGTTTTTGAGAGTTAGTCCTCTTAACGCAACAGGAACTTCTGAGTAAACATGCGTAGGGAGCATATAATTACTTTAAGAACCTAGCAGCCTGTTAAAATTCACCTTGAAGTTTTACTGAATGTTACTGTGAAAGGCAATCATGTGAAAACAGTACACGTAGCTTTGCCAGGTCCTAGGTGGTAATATGTAACTAGGAGAAAACATGTTGCTCTGGATTACTGGTTATCAAATTATGTCACCGTGAACCTTCCTAACCAATTTGTTCAGGCCTCCTAGAATATAATGTTGGACAATTCCTTAGCCTAAGGAAAAGCAGATCAAAGGAGAGAACTCTACAGTATAATGTAAACATGCAGGTGAAAACTAGTTGCTTGGCAGGGAATGGGAAATGATGAGAAGCTAATCTGTGAGATTCTAACATTTCTGAAAGAATTTAACGGGTAGAGGAGTGGCAATGGTGGCAACACAGAAAGGCAGGTCTTCACCAGCCATATTACCAACTGACTTGCAGACCACTCGGCTATCTATAGTGCCTTGCCAGGTTGTCGTTGCAACTGCATCAGAAAAGTAGCAAAATAAGTTTTTAATAGGAGGATAACAGGAAACACTGGAATGCATAGTTTTGCATTGCAATCATCTGGATTATATAGGAAGGCCTGAATGAACCTATCTGTCAGTTGCAGAAAAAAACAGCTAGTGTGTGGAAGCACCCTCAGAATGACAAAATTTGGGAATTCCTCTTTATTCGCAGGTGTATCAATCCCTCAATGAAAAGCATAAGACGTATTAAATCAGTGTGCCCATTCATCTTCTCCTTCTTTCTTTTTTTAAAGCCGGTAATTTATTTTTCCAGCTTCTTCCTATTCCCCAACATGTCCCTATCAGGGAAAAAGGTCAGAAAATCTGTATTTTGATCAGGGTTCTCATCAAAGGCAAAGGGGAGGACCTTGCAAAAAACAAACCAAACCAAACATTTTGTTGCACTGAGAAGATGGTGCTCCACTCACATTTTTGAAAGTGTAACAATAGCCTATTTGGGTACAATGTGGTTATTGTATGCTGTGGTAGTTCCCCACCTGCCAATAGGATGATGCGTTCACTCCCTTTGGAATTGGTCCCAGAAAATAAGATAGGCTTACCAAAATGTTCAGATTTATGTTGGCAAAAGATTGTGAAAAGGGTTTTTAAAAAAAATAAAAAGAAGCACAAAAGCAGAATAATTGACTTGAGGCATTTTTATGTGGGAACAATGTTTCTACTTGAGAATTTAGCAATAATAAAAATTTCAAGGTAAATAGTTTTTGTGTGTATGCACCTTTCCTGCCCTTCCCTCTCCACCAAGATGTGAAAGTGGCAAAATTAGTCATAACACAAGATCACTGTAAACAGGAGGCAGCAATCTGATACCTCCTATGGTGCCTGTGAAAGACCTCAATAAATGTACCTCAAAAATCCACACTGCACAAGATAGTATTTACTCTCTCTACCCAGTTGTTGGTTGCACTGATTCCTATAGTGCACATAGAATCATAGAGTTGGAAGAGACCACAAGGGCCATCGAGTCCAACCCCCTGCCAAGCAGGAAACACCATCAGAGCACTCCTGACATATGGTTGTCAAGCCTCTGCTTAAAGACCTCCAAAGAAGGAGACTCCACCACACTCCTTGGCAGCAAATTCCACTGTCGAACAGCTCTTACTGTCAGGAAGTTCTTCCTAATGTTTAGGTGGAATCTTCTTTCTTGTAGTTTGGATCCATTGCTCCGTGTCCGCTTCTCTGGAGCAGCAGAAAACAACCTTTCTCCCTCCTCTATGTGACATCCTTTTATATATTTGAACATGGCTATCATATCACCCCTTAACCTCCTCTTCTCCAGGCTAAACGTGCCCAGCTCCCTTAGCCGTTCCTCATAAGGCATCGTTTCCAGGCCTTTGACCATTTTGGTTGCCCTCCTCTGGACACGTTCCAGTTTGTCAGTGTCCTTCTTGAACTGTGGTGCCCAGAACTGGACACAGTACTCCAGGTGAGGTCTGACCAGAGCAGAATACAGTGGCACTATTAACTTCCCTTGATCTAGATGCTATACTCCTATTGATGCAGCCCAGAATTGCATTGGCTTTTTTAGCTGCCGCGACACACTGTTGGCTCATGTCAAGTTTGTGGTCAACCAAGACTCCTAGATCCTTTTCACATGTACTGCTCTCAAGCCAGGTGTCACCCATCTTGTATTTGTGCCTCTCATTTTTTATTGCCCAAGTGCAATACTTTACATTTCTCCCTGTTAAAATTCATCTTGTTTGTTTTGGCCCAGTTCTCTAATCTGTCAAGGTCGTTTTGAAGTGTGATCCTGTCCTCTGGGGTGTTAGCCACCCCTCCCAGTTTGGTGTCATCTGCAAATTTGATCAGGATACCCTTGAGTCCACCATCCAAGTCGTTGATAAAGATGTTGAATAAGACCCGGCCCAAGACAGAACCCTGTGGCACCCCACTAGTCACTCTTCTCCAGGATGAAGAGGAACCATTGATGAGCACCCTTTGGGTTTGGTCAGTCAGCCAGTTACAAATCCACTGAGTGGTAGCATAGTCAAGACCGCATTTTACCAGCTTCTTTACAAGAATATCATGGGGCACCTTGTCAAATGCCTTGCTGAAAGCAAGGTAGGCTACATCCACTGCGTTCCCTTCATCTACCAGGCTTGTAATTCTGTCATGTATCCTTAAAAATCACCATACTGTATTCCATTGGATACCAGGATTGGACATCTGTCCTCCCATCTGTTCAGAACAGAGAAGTCTCTCCTTCTAGATATGGCAGCCATTTTGTGTTATGCCATGTCACCGTGGCAGCCATTTTGTGGCATGCACACCAGACCCCCAAAGTTGGTGAATCCTGCTATAAAACTTACTGTAGTTAATTGTTTTGCCAAAAAAAAAGTTGTTTGTCCAATTAAAATGGCAATAATTTTCTGGACTATTCTCCTTGCCACTACACAAATTTTCTATGGCAACCTTGATAACTCGCCTTGTTTCCACTCACTACTTAAGAGTTCTGGGAGGAAATATGAATACATATTGTTTGACCTAGATAAGGGGTGGGTCCAGAGGTCCAGCAGGCCAGATATCTATCTACCCCCTTACACCATAGGCCACCTTTGAGAGGTGAGGGTTTCTGATGGCACGATGACATCAAAGTTGACTCATGTGAGTGGAATTTATTTTACCAGGAGGTTCCTTGCAGGAAGGGACACGTGTGGCACTGTGGTGTAAACTACTGAGCCTTGGGCTTGCTGATCGGAAGGTCGGTGGATCGAATCCCTGTGAGCTCCCGTTGTTTGGTCCCACCTCCTGCCAACCTAGCAGTTCGAAAGCACATCAGTGTGCAAGTAGATAAATAGGTACCGCTCTGGTGGGAAGGTAAACAGTGTTTCTGTGCACTGCTCTGGTTTCACCACATGACTCAGAAAAACTGTCTGCAGACAAACGTCGGCTACCTCAGCCAGTAAAGCGAGATGACCACCGCAACCCCAGAGTCGTTTGCAACTGGACTTAACTGTCAGGGGTCCTTTACCTTTATCTTCTTGCAGGAAACAGGCTGGTAAAGGAGCATGCAGCAGCTCTATTTGAATGGCAATGTCCATCAATGAGAGGGACTAAAATGGTGGGGGGGAAGGACCTCGATCCCTAGGTGTTGGCTCCTGTGTCTATTGATGAGGGCTCTAGTTTTCTACTTACCAGTTGATGAGTAAGAGTCAAATCCTGCTGCTTCAACGGCACACCAGTTCCCCATGGGGAACTGATGGGCACAGCAACACAGAAGTGAATTCCACCCCAGCCTATTGGCCGGAATCACCCAGTGACTCTGGCTGAATGAGAGGCAGATGTGGTTTGGGGAAATGGCTTTGCAGGCCAGCATTGGCCCACACAAGCAGGAGGTTCTTCACATCTGACCTAAAGAGAAAACTAGCTAGCGGGACCTAACTTGCCCAATCTTGCATTTATTTTCTACATGTGATTCATTTGTGATTAGATTATGGTAAGGCAGCCAATCTTTCTGGGATGTGTTAAGATCGTTTATCAGATTGCAACAACAGATTTTTGTGGTTGCTGATCTGGAGTGAGGGGGAGTCTCTTGCTCCTTTCTACCTATATTTGCAACAGCCCCAAATGTGAACAATCCCATCAAGCTTGTACTACTTTGCCACGTGTAATATGCAAACATATATTTTCTTCACAGGTGAGAATGAGACAGTCCCAGGGGAATCGATGGTCAGCGCTGTTTTAATTAACAAGAAAATGAGGAAAGCAAAAGCATTTAAAGAGTGTGCTCCTGTCAAAGAGGTTAGCCTTGAATTGCCCTGCAGTGAAAATATACAAGACAGTTCACCTTGGCGGATACATCTAGAGATCCACCGCCTTGCACATGGAGAACACCAGGAAGTTCCTTTGGGTGCTGTCCAAAAAAACAATGAACAGGTTAGCGCTGACAGTGAAATACTGTCTCTTAAGGAGAGAGTGATGACAAGTGAAGAATTATTAAAAGGAAGTGAACAATCTGCTGGAATACTCAGCGAACAGGAAAATTCGAGCCCTGCTGAAACGACAGACAGTTCTTATTCACATTTGACCTCAGTTACTTCACCCGCTTGGACACACGCTCAAATTTCAGTCTCAAAATTGGCACCGACATCTAATAAGCTACCCTATTACCCTTTCCCTCAGAAGAAAACTCACAAGATCTCTGAAGCTGCAAGAAGACTTGGATTGTATGTTTCACAGTGAGAGCATCTCATTAAGGAAGGAAGCCAAGTCTTGCTACGCACAGTCCCCTACACAGAAGCAGCTGCATGTTCCTTTTGGTCACATGTGCAACTGTGATCGGATTCCAACACCTGTGGTTACAGGAATTGCTGTGGCTGTAGCCATGTATATCCCAGCTTACACAAGTGTTACCCTGAGTGGGAAAGGAAAAACTGCTCAAATATAGGGGTGGGACAGCTCAAGCTATTTTAAACGTTTGGCTAAAAGATTCTTTTGCCACCATCTCCTGTGCCAAGGGGCTTGTTCACATTTGGGCATTCTTTAGTTGTTTATCCACTCCCCGCACCTTTTGAATTAGATCAGAGTTGTCCACACATGCACATATTTGAATTTGTATCCAAACAGCAACTTTGGTCTTCTCAGGGGGTTTTGAATTCATCCTAACGTCTCTGTTCTAAATAAAAGGGACTTTCACTCAACTCACTTCTGTGGAATGAGAGAAATGAAGGCTGTAACCCAGGAAACGGCAGGACACAATATCTACCAACCTCAGATCTTAGACTGGAGATGTTGAAATTCTCCTGCCTCTATCAGCCTCCACAATGTATAATGCTAACCCATGATTTGTTTTAAAAAACCAAGACTTTCCCCACAGACGGTCAAACAAACACGGCTTGTTTCTCCAAAGCTTGGTTCATTTTCCAGCTGCTCTTGCCTCGTGCCCTTCCATGGGTTCAAATATGACACTATAGTTAAAGCAAGCCAAGGTTTGCCAGCCAACAACAAAGCACAACAGGAGACTGTGGTTTGCTGGCAAGAAACAAAAGTTAAACCAATGGACAGAGTTCAGGCAATCAAACAATGGTCTCTGCTTATTGGATTCAGCTGGCCCTGCAATGGGGGAGTTAACTGTGAACACTTTCTAATATTTTACCAAATACCTTTGATGTGCTTGTTAAGGAATGATTGCTTAAAACCTGTTTTGGACTACTCAGTGTTCAGACTTATATGAAAATGCATTTTGAAGGTTCATTGTGTAGAAAATCTTTTAGCCCCGCAATGGTTCATAAGTTCACGTGCCTTTACTATAATATAATAATGAAAAAGCAGCAGAACAATAATGCGGATTTGGCTCCTGTTAGAAAAATAATGATTGACTAGCTGCACCTTTGGTTTGATCAGGTTGAAGGGTTCTTATTATGTCTTTGTTAATCTGTGATCCCTGGACCATGTAAACAAGCCCACAGTGGTTCTCTAAATGCCCTGCTAATTTTGTTCAGGTGTAGATGTAACTATGAAATGCATTTTTATAAAGTGGTGATAATGATACTATTTCTAGAAATGTTTTATTTTCATGAACTGGAATTCAGTATTAATAAGAATGATTGACATATACTGCTTTGTTAATTCTTTATTGAAACAAATGATTCCCACCCCCCTGCACTTTCTAAAATCTGGAGTTGATCCTCTTTTTTTCCTGCCCTCTCAAGATTAAATATAGTTGATATGTAAATATATACATTTCCTATTTTCCCCACTTCATTTTCTCAGCTGCATGTCAGAAAGCACATATGCTTTTCCGCATCACTGAAATAAATTAATGACTTGTAATATGATTTTTCAATTCATGGAAATGTTATTTTGTAAGAAATATAAATTGGAAGCACAGTTCTACTTTGCATCCAGACCAGTTGTTTTATTTTCATAATCTGCTCCTGAGAGTCAGTACTGATGTTTCATTTTGAAGGTTTTTTGGTTTTATGTGTATAAATTAATATTTGATGTGTGTACACATAGACTGCATTCATATATTACAATAATGCATTGTGACAAGACTTTGGCTTCTCATCCCAGAGAGGGGGGCAAAGGAGAAAATCCAAGGCATGTTCTCATAACAGCAAACCATAGTTTGAAGTTACATTTGAGTGTGTTCATAGACCATAGTGGATATTTGTATTACTTTAGTAAAAATGCATAATGCACCTTTTTCCCCTAGTCACTGCAAACTAGCATGATCGTGAAAGTTCTAGTGTGAACCTTTTTGGCACATTTGTGAGGGCCTTAGGAAGTGGAGATATAAAGACCCACAGTCTTAAGTGGGGTGGAAAAAAATCATTAAAATGTCAAGGATGAAAAGTTGCACATAACAAAAGGGAAGCCTCCTTCCCTTCTTTTCTCTTATTTTAAAAGCACTTTTTCTTCTTCTGTGACATGTGCAATGCCCCCTCCCATACTTCTTTGGAAACATATGATACATCATAACCTGCTGTTCTTCGAGGGGCATTGTTGGGAGGTGGAACCGCACTCCAACCTGCATTGCCCTGGAAAAAACATGACTGAGGTGTGTCACAAAACCTTATACAAAAACATGTTGGTTGTAAGATGCTACAGAATGAAATCCATTTTCCTACAATGAAGTCATGTGCTTCTGGGCCAGCCACTAAATGCACAAAGTGGGGGGGGGGGGAGTTGACAACTCCATTATCTGCAACAGACATTTTAAGCACATGGCTTCTCCCAAATAATCCTGGGAACTGTAGTTTACCCCTCAAGCATCTTTAGCAAACTACATTTTGCAGGATTTTTTTGGGGGGGGGGGAGCCATATGTTTAAAATGCACAGTACGGATGTTACCCAAAAGACTGTTGTCAAAGTCAGTCCTATATTGTGATTTCTAAATAAAGTAGTTAGTCAACACCCTTTTTAATCAACATTTTGCAAAACATGGAGCAAACGTTTGAATCCGCAGACCGGAATAGATTGTTTGTGACATTTTTGCTGGTCATAATTAAGGTGGTTTTTGGTGGGTTTTTTTACTGTTGATTTGTTTTTCCTATGTGCTAACATACCTTCCTTTGCTTTTTTATACTATCTATAGATACACACACACACATTCACAAAGCTAGGCCAGGTTTCCCACTCTCCTCCTTGCCAGTTCTGCCGATTTTGGCTACCTACCCACACCTAGGACAAAAAGGGCTTACAACCTAACAGCACAATCCTGTAGGTGCCTCACTCTCCCAATCGTGTTTACTGTATTTAATATTGTGTGCACACTGCCTATGGGGCCTGCAGCCTAAAATGTGCTCCTTAAAAGTTTCTGTTACGGAAGCAGTAGGTAAGCACCATAACTGCCACTATTTTTTATTTTAAAAACAAGAGCCTTTCAAAAATGTGGCCCCTCCATGAGGATCCAGGAGGGCATCAACAAAAGAATGGGGCCTTTTTTGCAGTGGCTCCCTTGTGGAATTCCCTCTCCAGGGAAGCTAGCCTGGTGGCATCATGACACACATTTAGGCGCCAGGAGAAAACCTTCCCCTTATCCCCCACCTTTCGCTAATTCAATCTATGGACTTTTAAATGTGTGTTCCAGGCACGGAAAGGTGTTGTTTTTATTTTGTTACTACGGCATTTTTGTGTGCTTTTATGTTGTAAGCCGCCCCTGTAGTCCTCGGACGAATGGGCGGCAAAGAAATATCCCAACTCCGTTCCGCTTCTGAGGAAAGCTGAGGACGACGCTCGCGCCGTTGCCGTTAGGTTTAAACGAGCGCGTGAGGCGATGCGCACACCTGGCTGAGGCAACGGTTGGCTCCTCCCCCGCGTGACGTAGGCCGGCGGCGCGTGCGAAAAGCGGCGGCGAGCCTTTCGACGCCACAAACGAAAGAAGAACTAAAATGGCGGCGGCAGCGGCTGCGTCTGGGGAGCGCCGTTCCCGGTCACATGACCGCCCGATCTGGGAGGGGGAGCCGGGAGTGTTTTCTCTTTCATTTCCGACGGGCTCCCACACGTAGGAAACCCGGCAGTGCCTTCTGTTCCTCGTCAGAACCCGGGTCTGGCGGCGGGTGGGTCGCCGAGGGGCGGCGGAGGCGGCGGCCGGGAGGCAGAGACGCGTCTCCACCCAGCGCGCGCCGCTCTGGACGCGCCCTCCTCCTCCTCCTCCGCCACTGGAAGCGGAGCGGGGCAGAGAGAGGAAAGCGCTCAGGTGAGTGACGGCCAGCGGCGCCCCATAAGCAGCCGGGGGGGGGGAGGGAAGGAGGAGGAGAAAGGGCCAGAGCCCCTCACACTGTTCTCAACAAAGCCCCTCACGCCTGGAGGAGGGAGGGGGTGGCAAAAGGCTACTTCAACAGTCACCTCAACCATAAATATTGACAACAGCGCCCTACAAATGCTCTCTGCGTAGGGGGCAGGGTAGGCTCAAAACGTCATCATAAAGGATTTTAATCTGCATTTTGACAGCATACTCCCCCAAAGGGGCTAACCTATAAAAGTATACAATGCAATATGAAAATCTAAAATGCCCATTTCATAAACTGACATGGTGAATTGCCTTGAGATCTTTTGATGAAGGGCAGTACAGTGGTTAAGTACTTAATTCGTTCTGGAGGTCCGTACTTAACCTGAAACTGTTCTTAACCTGAAGCACCACTTTAGCTAATGGGGCCTCCTGCTGCTGCTGCGCCGCCGGAGCACGATTTCTGTTCTTATCCTGAAGCAAAGTTCTTAACCTGAAGCACTATTTCTGGGTTAGCGGAGTGTGTAACCTGAAGCGTATGTAACCTGAAGCGTATGTAACCCGAGGTGCCACTGTATATAAATAAAATAACATTTAATAATGCATGCACGCACACCCCACACACTGTGTCCCCAGGGTGGGTGGGTGGGTATCTGGCTTGATCTGTCTGTGCCTCATCTCTGGGGAAGCACTTAATTCCCTCCGTCACCCCCCAAGTTAAATCGGTTTGTTGCGGGCTTGTGGCATTGATGTGCTGCCAAAAGCATCCATTCAAGGTGGCTCAGGGTTAAAAGCACTGGGCACCCACACATCCAAACACCTATCATTAAACCAGTAGGGTCATTACAGGTGGCCACCGCAGACGCATTTGTTCTGAGGTGGTTGTGGGAAAGTCATGCAGTGTTGTCTCTCACAGTTGCTTATAACCGCACTTTCAGCCCGTCGCCCCTCTCACTTTTCCGTACTGCAAAAAGTCAGATTTTTAGAAGCAGGTTTGTGGCACGTGAGCTTGAAATGTGTTTTGGTTGTGGAACCTGAATTTATTTGCTGGCATCTGAATCCCGCCCTTTCCTCATATGGCCCCCAAAGAAGAATTTAAGCAAAATAAATAGAATAAAACACTATTGCAGTCAAATAGGAATATCGATTCTGTAGGGGGCTGCAGAATTTAAAAATTGCCATGAAATAAAACAGCATCATGGCAATGTACTGTATAAAACTTGGGAAAATGAAACTGTTTTCACTCCATGCCTAAAAGATGATGGTGTATGCACCGGGCAAATTGACAACTTGCAACATTTCTCTTTAGTTTCCTTGTGCCTGTGTCTTTTAATAGGAACCTGACTCATGAAAATGACACCACTGAAGGTTTCCCTGCTGCTTAGCTCCATGTACACAATTAATTCATTTTTAGTTCAACGGTGTAGCTTTTCTCCAGAATTGTGGTTACTTGAGATCTGCAGATGACAGGTGGTATACAAATTTAATAAATAATAATAGGCATTTGAAACCCCTCCCCTCTAGGGGTTCATTGACACCTTTTCTTCCCCACATGCACCCACCCACAACATCACTGGACAAATGACTGCAGGGCAATCAGTCTGCAATAAGTTTTTACTTTCAGAATGAATTCTGTTTCTCAAGAAGTGTTTTTCAGGGGCAAAAAACATACAATAAATCTAGTTTGTATTTGGACTACATAGCGGGGGTAGTACTCTTTCTCCATTGACTCTAATACAAAATGTTTGTACACAGCCCTAGTCACTGTTTAAAGGCCAAGGGGGAGGGCCAAACTGGTAACCCTGTATCACATGTGGGGGGAAACCCTGTGCCACCAGCCAGTCCTTAGCCTGCCTTAGGCGGTTGAAATACAATATCCTGTGCTATAGGCCTGGCTGTTTCTAGTAGACTCCTTTAAACAGCCATGTGACAGATTAAAAGCCAAAGGCAGCAGTCTCCCTGAAGTTTAAGTCTTCCCAGTTGGATCTCTGCATGTCACACAGCTATGAAAAATGCAAGAGGGAACTGGCAACTTGGTGGGATGAGCAGAGGGGTTAGATCAGTTGCTAATTGATGTGTGTTTCTTGCAATGTTCTCAGCTAAAATATATAATTCAGTGCACCTCCCTCGCTGGTTTTCTTACAGAGGCACTGTCTTTAAAGTTTGCTCATAAATTTGCAGCGTCTGTCTGAGAAGTAGAAGTTTCACACAATAAAACATTAATAGAAATGTTTCCTCATGGAGTCTCCTTCCCTTTCAGTGTCAATGGCAGTGCAATCAATGCATATGAACCAAACACTAGAAATGAAAGCAAAACTAATGAATCAATTTTACTGCCTCACCCCAAGTGGCAGATGGCAGCATTTTAAGATCTTTGCCAGATCTTTTATCAGCCATAAATGAGTCTCTTGACTCTTGAAGAGGCTCTGCATGTAGATTTCTTTCACACAGTGTTCTCAGTTTCAGTCTTTTCGTTTATCCTGCTCCTTAATATCTCCCCACCCCCATCCCGCTTTCTGTTTTTCTCATCTGGCTCAAACAGAAATGGCAATGCCAGTCAAGACAACCACATATTTGGTTGATTGTGTAGAAGGAATCAAAAGTTAAGCCCCTGACCTTCTGCTTATCCATATGGTGACAGAAAGATAAAGTCCATGAAGAAATCAGGAGTTTCTTTTCTCTGGCTTCCTCCTTTCGTCACAGCTTCAAAAATATCAGCATGTTGGCAGGATTTTTTGGCTAAGTCTGTAAAATCTGGCAGCAGCTCTGGCTGCGCTGGGATCATTGGCAGATACTAAAGTGTGGAAGGCATGGTAGAGATGGAAAAGAGAAGTAGCAACAGCTGAAGTCCTCAGACCACTTCCTCTATAGAGTTGTGAATCTTGCAAGATTAAAAGGGGTTTAAAGATTGCAGCATTTGAAATTTCTGTTTTGCCCTTTTTGGTGCCAACTTTTAATTTGGCCCCTGTATCACAGCCTCTGGTGGCAGCTTGATCTGCAGACATTTGCAGGTGGTCATGTTTTTCTTCCTGCTATCAATAGCTTCCAAATGCTGATTTCTGCAAATCAAGCTGCTGTTTAAGGCTCAAGAGCAGCCCAAGCAGGTTTTCTGGTCAGCTGGCATCCAATGCCAATCCAGTTTAGTTAGAACTTCTCCAAGGCTTTACATAGTCAGCTGCATTAAATCCTGCTAAGATTTTAATTTGACTAGATTTCAGAGCTGATATAACATTTTATCCTAGGTAAAGATGTGAAGCCGTGTTGGAGCATTGATTCAGCATCCATCTCCATGAATCTTAAATTTCCAATCAAATACATTAGTTCTTTCTGTGATTGCAGGCATAAGATTTCAACCTGTCAATGGTTTTTTTATAAAGATTGGTCTACAAGAAGAGAACAGCTATATGGAGCAAATAAAAACATGTTAAATCATTAACAAACATCAGTTTCAAGTTTATTAGCTGCTTGCTACTCAGTGTCAGCTGAATGCTTTTGTTTGTTGCTTGTTTGTATAATGTACTTTGCAACTTCCATTTCATCATGAATAATATGGGGAGGGGGAGAGCCATGCATGATACCCTGAACTTGAAGGAAAGGTATATAAAAAGGAAAAAGGAAAACAAATAACTAAATTAAAAACAGTTTCATAACTGGTGCAATTTCTTTGCTACACTTGCACTAAAAGAAACAGTTCCACTTCTCTGCCTCCCCCCACCCTTTAGCAGTCTGTCATTAACTGCCATGTGGGGAGGATCCTGGTGTATTGTTAAATGTTAATAATGTTTCTTGTGCTTTACAAATACATAAGTGAGTGCTGTTTGTAAGCTGCTTTGTATTATAACCTGAAAGGCAGGATATAAACAATTGTAACAAAGCCATAATATATTGGAAGCAGTTTTGCACGAAGTCAGACAATGGTCCATCAATCTCAATATTATTGATGCTGACTAGCAGTAGCTTTCCAAGGTTCCGGGCAGGTCTTTCTCACTGGAGATACCAGGGGTTGAACCTAGGATTTACTGTATGCAAAGCATGTCCTTTTCTACCAAGCCATTCCTGTACTTCATCGGTTTCAGCGCCATGTAAACAAACAAGTTTCTTTTTGGAATAAGAGGAAGTAGAATATGCATTTTGATGCAGCCTACCTACAAGATTATGATGCCCATTTCAGCAACTAGTGCACATAGGACTGAGCATTTTAATTTTGTTTCCTAGGTAAGGATGGCACAGAACAAATACCTCGCAGCAAAACTGAAAAACTATTTGCGAGAAGACAAAATTCAGCTATGGAAACCCCCATATACAAACAGCTACCAGGAGGCGGGTGAGGAGCTGAAGGCAAGTAGTCTGTGGCTGGCATATTGTTGCTGCTTTTTATTTCGTGCAAATTTACTGCTTTCATTTCTTAACAGATCCATTTTTATCATCCTAGGCTCTCGCACTGCAATATTCAGCCAGGCTAAATTGTAATGACAATGAAATAGAGGCCCTCCTGGAAGAGATACGCTCCAAAGCAGTCGAGCGAGGAACGAAAAATGAAGCATATAAGATGACAGGAGTTGCGACGCTTGAAGTAGCCTTGCCTACAAGGATGGGTAAAGTAAGTAATTGTTTAATGTTCTCAAAAGAAGCATATGTAATACGTTCAGTAATTGCTGTGGATGTGTAACAAATGGAAACATTTCATGTGTACAGAACAGGCAGATAGGCTGCCTGATATGGGTCTTCTCCTTGCCTTATGTAGGGGTGATGGAGCAAGGAGCCACTCGATTGGATAGCTCAGTTGGTTAGAGCATGGTGCTGATCATGCCATGGTCTCATTTTTGATCCCCATATGGGATAGTTGCATATTCCTGTATTTCAGGGGGTTGGATTAGATGATTCTCAGAATAATTTCCTTTTTTTTCCAAGTGAATTTTTATTGTTTTCCTTACATATTCTTTTCCAACAAATTGTAATAGCACCATACATTCCCTTTGACTCTGCCAAGTCACGACCCCCCTCCCTCCCCACAACTGGTATATTTATCCTCTTTCCATCACACACATCATTCTCAAATTAGTACTGTTATACATTGGAGGTATTATGTCAATCCTGCTAGTGTCTTGACCTCTTTACAATTCTTCTTTAAATATTCAATAAATTTACTCCAGTTATTTTGGTATCTTTGATCTCCCTGGTCCCGGATCCTCCCTGACAGTTTGGCAAGTTCTGCATATTCTGTCAACTTCGCCTGCCACTCCTGTATAGTTGGTATATCTTGTACTTTCCATCTTTGGGCCAGAAGGGTCCTCGCAGCAGCTGTAGCATACATGAACAAATTTTGATCTTCTATTTTAATTTCTGTTCCTATTAAGCCTAATAGACACGCTTCCGGTCTTTTGGGGAAAGTATATCTAAATATTTTTTTGAGTTCATTATAAATTGATTCCCAATTTTTTTTTATCTTATCGCAGGTCCACCACATATGGAAATAGTCCCCATCTGCCTTTTTGCATTTCCAACACTTTCTTTCTTTTTTCCTATACATTTTAGCTAATTATACTGGCGTCAAATGCCATCTGTACATCATTTTTAGCAAGTTTTCCTTTAAAGCCATGCATCCTGTGAATCTCAAGAATAATTCTCAGAATAATTTCCAGCTGCACAATTCTAATATTCAGTGATTGGACTTCTTTCGTTTTACCTTAAGGCTTCATCGCATGGAACTTCACAGTTGGAAAGGATAAAGTGTTGAGTGTCGTGCTTGGTCCTCCAGTGCTTTTAAAAAGCAATTTACAGATTTGACATTGGTGTCAAATAGCCCTAACATACACCATTGTTTAGAATAAAAACACTCAATTCCGGAAAGAAATTTGGATTTCTTGAATTTTTTAAGTCTCCTTGGAAGGAACCACACAGTTCGCTTTAACTTGGCATTTATATCTCGGCAGGCAAGAAAAAATGTGCTGGAGACAAAATTGGTCATCACAGGCAAGGAGCTCAGATCTCAGTAAGTAATTACCAATTGCCTTTTTGAGGTTTTCTTCCCTGCCCCCCTTTTATATAGTTCTTTTAGTACCATATAATTTGGGTCTGGTGTATTCGTATTTGATATTTAACTTAGTAATGCCTCCTAAATTGAACACAGTAATGGCACCTTTGGCATATTTTGCAAATATTTGTATCAAAAGGTGCAGGTGGATTTTGTGCATATTTTTTCAAAAGTAAGTCTGTGAATTCATTGGGATTTACTTGTAGGGTTATAGCCCTGTGTGATTATCAGTTGAAACAAGAACGGGACTGACGAAGCCTTTTGCTTCTGTGTGGTTCTTGGTCTATAGCAGTGGTTCTCAAACTCCCCCCATCCCCATGGACCATTTGAAAATGGCTAAGGGTCTTGGTGGACCACTTAATGTTTTTTTTCTGCCTGTTGTAGCAAAAGTCAACTTCCTGTCTGTGTAGTAAAAATGTGTGGGGGAAAACCTCATTATTCAGAAAAAAATAAAATATTTCAGTATTTCCTCCCCCCCCCCCCGAAAAATAAGTTAGAAGTAAACAAAAAACACTAATACCCTGTTAAAACTGAATAGCATTTAATATCTATTGCTCTGCTTCACAGAATAGCACAAGCATATGGATTGGAAGAAAATTGCATCAAAATAATTATAAATAAGAAGCAGCTTGACCTGGGTATGTATCTTATAGTTTCAAATACGGTAACCATTTTGTGCGCATATGATTGACATGAAACCGCCAACACACACGCTGCTTTTGGCCCTAGAAGACGGCAGAGGTTGGAGCAGGCTTACGTGTGACTGCTGACATGCACACTGACCTGGAACACAACCCTCATGCAAATGGCAAGATGCCTGTATTTACTATAAAGTATTGTACAGCCACAGCCAGTATTTTAATTGAAGCTGTGCCTCTTTTCTTTTTCTTTTTCCTTTTAAGCCATACGTTTAAAAAACTTTTAATCCCATATTCCTTCAGCTGACTTTGACGCGTTAAACTTGCTTCCATTTTACAGGAAAGACTCTAGAAGAGCAAGGTGTGACGCACAATGTCAAGGTCATGGTGCTTGAGCTGAAACTGTCCGAAGAAGAAACCAGGAAGAAAGTCCGCAGTGAGGAAATGCAACAGGAGGAAGAGGCTGTGAAGAAAAAAGAAATGAACAAAAGGATGCAAAGGACAAAAAAAGGCTTAGAAATACTTGCAGAGCGAGGTAAGGAGCTCTTGTAAATCCCATCATTAGCAGTACAGATTAAAATTCCATTTAAAGAAGAATAATGAAATGGAAAGGGCATTGTCCTGCTTTGCAAATAGTGTGAAGATGCATGTCGTTCTTAAAGAGAGTCAAAGCTGGTTTTTCTCTCACAGTGTAAGCCCAGATCTGCTTTTCCCTCAACAGACATACCAGCAATTGCAGTCCTGGAACACCTATCAGCCTTGCCCGTCCTTCATGCTTCAGGCATGTCAGATGCTGCTGTGGTTGCTCGAGAGTAACCAGGCAGGACTCCGACCTGTCTTTTACAGGCTTCATTTTGGGTCAAACTATTTACAGTGCAGAGCGTCATAAGTTCATGTCTGGCTCAATCGCTAGCAGAATCCGGGATTGCTTTGTTCTTGTACCTCCCCCAACATAAAAGTTCCGTCACCCCCAGCCTTTTCTGCCCCTCCCTGCGCCTCAAGCTACTGCGCATGATGGGCGAAGGCAGGGGTATTCTTCCCTCCTCTCCGGCTTGCTCAGGTGCGGTGTTAAGGCTCTTTCTAGCATCCTCTGGTTCTTGCACTTCTTCTCCACTGGAGGTGGGGGTTTCCACCTCGCCAGAAGAGGAACTGCTTTGCAAGTTTTTCGGAGGCTCCCTGTCACACAATTCCCCCAATATCTCTTGCCTCTGCGCCAATGGCAGTTCCCTGACAAGGCAGTTTGTGGGTGTTTTGTTCGCTTACAGCAGAGAAGAGGGACCTTTTGGGCCAGAAGGCCAAAGCATTATATCCCACCCCATGGGTCACCCACTCCTAACTTCGACAGGTGCTCCACAAGGATACCATGTTTCTTTGGTCATGGTTCTAAAATCCAGAATGGTCCATGCAACTGAATGGTTGTATGTGTGTTATTCCAGCTAGGAGTTTGTCACTGTCATGGGTGTGAGACACCTGGTTTGCATGTAATGCTAAATAATAATAATAAATTTATTATTTATACCCCGCCTATCTGGCTGGGTTTCCCCATCCACTCTCGGCAACTCCCAATAGAATATTAAAAACACGACAAATGCATCAAACATTAAAAACCTCTTTAAACAGGGCTGCCTTCAGATGTTTTCTAAAAGTCAGGTAGTTGTTTATTTCCTTGACATCTGATGGGAGGACGTGCCACAGGGCAGGAAAAATACCTCAATTTCTTTTGGACAGAGTTGTGTATTATTAAGAACCTCATTCAGGAACCACAAAATACCTACTTTAAAAAAAAATAAAGATGCAACACAATAATCAATTATTTCTTGTGGCAATTGTTTTATCCAGAAACTAATACAGATGTGTTGTATACAGAATGAGAACAATCCAGTGAAGCAGGCATTGTATTTTATAGATGCAATATTGAGAAACAGTGTCTTGGTCTATACATTATTGGAATTTAAAGGACCCAGAGCTAATCCTGCGAAGACACATATTTCCTCATTTTCTGTCTGATCTGTTTCAGAGGATTCCATGGATCCCAACAGAGCACCTTACCTGGACATAGCAAACCAAACCGGAAGAACGATCAATATTCCTCCACAAGCAAAAAAAGTGAGTGTATGCTGTGAATAAGTTGTTCATTCTGTTCTGTTCATTTCCCCGAAGAACAGGAAAGGCTTGCTTTTAATTGCAGTTTGCACTAAGGTTTAGTGTTAGTAAAATGCTTTTCCCTTCACCCCCACAGGCTCTTTTCTTAGCCATGGGCTATCATGAAAAGGGCAGAGCATTGCTGAAGAAAAAAGAATATGCTATGGCGCTGCCGTTCTTGTTGGATGCAGATAAACATTTCTGGTAAGAACCTCTTGGTACTTTTAAAACAACTTTGGATATGGTTCTTTACAGAGCAATCCCATAATGTTCTTTTAAAAAGAACTGGCAGTGTATCGCTGCTATAACCAGAACATGCCCCACATGGGAAAGAAAGGAGGGCATGTCAGAAACTTTAAAAAAATCAGCAAAAACTCCAGCCACATTTCCACTGCCCTTAGTAGCACCACCCCCCTGCCCACAAATCCCAGGACATAGCTGAATCAATGCTGCACACCACTCAGAAATGAAAGGAACCATGTCAGCCAGTCTGGGGTGAAGCCATGAGAACACCATGCCCCATCAACATGCACAGCACCCAGCAGCATGTCACAGTGGGTGCCCCAACCCGTGGATCGCAGAAGCAGCAAGCATGCAGCTCCTGAGAGATGTGAGACAGCCCTTGTGGAAGGAGCTCAGCACCCAAAATACCACTATATTTACACACACTGTTTGAATGATAGGATCTAGCAGAAATTAATCATCATAATCTTCCTCTGTGCCACCCACAACATTTTTTGCACAAGTCTTTAGGTGATGGAAGATATTACGTGGTTAAATTGTACTCATCTATATGTAGCCCACCCTGGGACTGCATGATTAAGGGTGTGCTTCGAATGCCTATAAATAAACCCAGTCTCATTTTGGTTATTCCTTTGCCGTCTTTCTCATAGCGGCGGCCATGTATCTGGCATTTCTGTGCTGATACATTGGTGCGTTCTCTGAATCCTATTGCCCAAGGGTGCAGAATCAATCATCCAGGAATTGCATGCTGGCAGTAAAAGGTAAAGGACCCATGACAGTTAAATCCAGTCGCAAACGACTCTGGGGTTGCGGCGCTCATCTTGCTTTACTGGCTGAGGGAGCTGGCATTTGTATGCAGACAGTTTTTCTGGGTCATGTGGCCAGCATGGTGAAACCAGAGCAGCACACAGAAACTCCGTTTACCTTCCTGCTGCAGTGATACCTATTTATCTACTTGCACTTTGACGTGCTTTCGAACTACTAGGTTGGCAGGAGCTGGGACCGAGCAATGGGAGCTCACCCCGTCGCGGGGATTCAAACCACTGACCTTCTGATTAGCAAGCCCTAGGCTCAGTGGTTTGGACCACAGTGCCACCCGCTTCCCTTATGCTGGCAGTAGGAGGGGCCAAAATAAGACTGGTTGCAGCCATACCCTCAAAAATTCTTCTTCATGCCTAATTGCTTTGTGGGGTAATCTTCATGGAGACTTCTTCTGGGAGGGTTAACCCTTCCCTCCCTAGCTGCACTGTTAAGAAAAGTTCCTACAGCCATTGGGCTTAGAAACTGCCTTCTATTAGCATCAGTAGAAGGCACTTTCAAGCCTATGTGAGGTGGGGTGTGCTGCAGCTGAGATAGGAAGGCTACTGCTGGCTGCTACCACCTTTCCTACAGCCCCTAGGCCGATGGAGTTTCAGTCAAGAACTGTACCCTTAACCACTGTGTTGCACTAATCCACCAGACTTTTAAGGAAAATAATGTGTATTTTGCAGCACTGCACATTTTGTGTTCATGTAAATTCTACTATTGGCTGAGCCTCTTTGGAATACCAATTGTTTTCTTGTTGTTTTTCAGTGAATGTGGTTCAGACCTCCTGACCACTGTTGATAATTACGCAGTGCTGCAGCTGGACATCGTCTGGTGCTACTTCCACTTGGGTCAGCTGGATTGCCTTGATGATGCTGAGAAAAAGCTCCTTGCAGCTCATGATTGTTTCAGGAAGTGTTACGGAGAGAACCACGAAAGACTGGTCACTATAAAAGTAGGCTAAAGAGGATGGTGTGTGGTTGTGGTAGGGTTTAATTCACTCGCCCTTGTTATAGAAAAATGTGTTTTGGAAATAGGAACTGTCCCACTAGAGCTGGTTGCCTTTGGTACTCAGGACTTGCTTCTTGCTTTTCCCAAGGAAGGAGTGTGTTCTTGAGAACTAAAGGCATGAATACAAAATCTCAGAAAGGAAGCGCATTCACAAAAGATGCATTGAATCCAGGACTGATTCTGTAAGATCACCTGTCATGTGTCTTCCTTCCAAATGTTGTTCTTCTGACATTGCATTTTTTGCACATCATGGAACACAGAAGTAACTCTGAGAATTGTACTTAAACTTCTGCAAAGGCTAAGGCAGTGGTCAGGGATAGTGGAAATTGTAGCAACTCAGGAGGGTTGCATGTTCTCAATCCTTGGAAAATTCAAGCAGAAAACCCAGTTGCGTTGTTAACACTCTTGCTAAGGAAACTGTCGTGTGGATGTCTGTGGGCCCCTCTCAAAGAGCAACAGTCCTAGGGCCTCTGTTTTACCAATCTGGTTAGAAAGCCTGAAAGGACTGTATAAACTATACTGAGTGAAGATTGCGGACTTCTGAAATTCTGTTGTTGCATACAAATGGCCTCACGTTCTGTAGCTCCTTTCATACTCTCCAGTTATCTGCCCCTTGAGGTTCCGTATCTTGAATTTGCACGACAAGCAAAGAAAAGGAATAATCCTCCAACTCAGAGCAGTCATTCAGCCCTACTATTCCAATTAATGTTAACAAAAGTAATGAAATCTGATCCCTGTGTAATCCGGTGGGAAGGTGCTTCTAAAGATTAAGCGAAACGCAGAAGCGTTTAGCAGGAGCATTCCGGCTGTGCCCATTGAAGTGAAAGGGAGCTGAGCAAGCACCAGGCGGCTCTTGCACAGTTACCATTTGTTTCGGTGGGGCTTGTCCAGCCTGATGGTTTTTCACAAAGCAGCATTACAGATCCAAAATAAACTAGGCCCTAAGGCTGGGTTCCCAACACAGCATCCATCGGCACCACAGTGCCCTCCTACACATCAGTCTCATTAAGGACCCATTCCCCTCCTAATTTCTAAATTGAGGTGTATGGGGCTTGTTTTGCTTTTGAGTGGAGCTGCTTGTTTGAACAGGGACCTGTTTTTTATGGAGGGGGTCTTGCTTTCTTGTCTGTGTTTTATCTGTTCTTTTGCAAGGTGTAGGTGTCTGAGCAGGTACCTGAGCATCGCCAGTTTTTCTTCTGTGAAATATTTTGTGAAATACTTCTGTGAAGTATTTTGTGGTGGGTGCCCATGGCAGTTTTTGAGATTCCCAGATGTCCCTAGGCCCAAAAGGTTGGGCATATTTTCTCCCCTTTCAAAGCCTTTTGGGTGGCTAACCCACATACAGCAAATGACTGAGAAAACAAAAACAAAAATGTATAGGTGCTTCTTATTGTTAGGAATCTCCTCATTATTCATTGATTGAATTTCACATTAAACCTTTTCTAGATTATTGGTTGCATATCTGGTTTTCAGATCCCAACCTCTTATTTGATATTACAGGTTACTTACCTGTATTCAAGCCTGATCTTTAACCAGTCCATTTCATGGGATTCTTCGTAGAGAACTCAAGTGTTCTTGTTTCAGTTTCCCAAATTTCAAGAGATAAAGTGCAGTGTCAAGTTTGTATGTTGTTCCATATACAAACCATTTTTTTTGTACCTTATGATTGTGGGGTCCTATTTTTCTCGCATACATTTTTTGTAAACTTACATGACTTTCAGTAAATAAACAGAAGGCCCATAAACTATGTTTTTGTTAAATTGTACTTTTAAGTTTACCCATTTATAAACGCTTGCTTTTCTTTAGGGAAGCTCTGGGAGAGAGAAGGCGTTGTTTCTAAGGCTGTACTTGCTTCAAGGAATAAGCCATTATCATAATGGCAGAGAGAGGGAGGCTGGTGAAAATCTTCAAAGGGTAAGTTTCTGTGTCCCTAAGCATGTGCAGTTGCCTGGAAGGAGGCCCCTTTGAACACAGTTGTGAAGCATCAGATTCCCAGTGTTATTTTTCCTAAATAGCCTGTTAGCAGAAAAACGGTTTTCTTCATATTTTATTCATTCCCTTGAGCAGAAATGTATTTTTCCTTTTCCTCTTCTTTTTCTATGCAGGCACATGACTTGTTTAAAGAGTTGTGCATCGATCCTGACAAGATAAACAGCTTGTTACTACTGGGATTCTCTGCTCAGGAAGCCCGCCTGGGTCTCCGAGCTTGCGATGGGAATGTGGACCATGCTGCCAGCCACATTTCCAGCAGGAGAGAGGTACAGTGCCAGGGTGGTACCATAAGGGTCTGTTTTATATTACTGTGGTGCAGCAAGTGGGGAAACATGAGGAAAAGCTAAATACCACCAGCATTGGAGATATGTGTGTGTGTGTGTGTGTGTGTGTGTGTGTGTGTTGCTGCATGACAAACCACTGAAGACACCTCAGAGAGGTTTCCGCATAATGACCGAATGGGTGGATCCAACCATTAAAGAGGCAGAGCTGTACTCACTTACACGTTGCTTTTCCCATTTAAAAAGGTCATGGGCTGAATTTCTAAACAGCTTCTGAACTTTTGAATTTAATGAACAATTTGAACATCCTTTGGTAGAAACCTCTGAGAGAGGTGAAAAAAGAAACTTGTCCAAAGTCTGTGCTGCACAAACCCTTTTTGATTGTAATAATAATAATAATAATAAATTTTTATTTATACCCCCCGCCAAGACCGGGCTCAGGGCGGCTAACAACCAGTAATAAAAACAAGTTGATTAAAATACAACATTAAAACAATTAGGGAGCAATCTCTTCATAGGAGGAGAAAGGAAAAAGAAAGGAGGAAGGAATCAATCTGATTCCGAGCCAAAGGCCAGGTGGAACAACTCTGTTTTACAGTCCCTGCGGAAAGAGATCAGATCCCGCAGGGCCCTGGTCTCAAGAGACAGAGCATTCCGCCAGGCAGGAGCCAGTGTTGAGAAGGCCCTGGCTCTGGTTGAGGCTAATCTAACTTCCTTAGGGCCTGGGGCCTCTAGGGTGTTGCTATATATGGACCTTAAGGTCCTCCGTGGGGCATACCAGGAGAGGCGATCCCGTAGGTACGAGGGTCCTAGGCCGTGAAGGGCTTTAAAAGTCAAAACCAGCACCTTAAATCTGACCCTGTACTCCACCGGCAGCCAATGCAGCTGGAAAAGCATTGGGTGAATATGCTCCCATGGCAGAGACCCCGTGAGGAGCCTCGCTGCAGCATTCTGCACCCGCTGGAGTACAGAATGTATTGTAGACTTTCTGTGCATTCCCTGTATCACTTCCTTGAGAACTATTGCACCAAGTGGTTTGATGACTGCCGCTTTCATCAGGTCCACTGTAAGGACGCCAGCAAGAAACAGTTGTAATGGGAAGAAATGTGTCTGAGTCAAAGGATAATCTTAACAACACAGAAAATATCCACCAGGAGTGTGTGTGGGTATGTAGCTTGCTTATCTAATAAATAGCTTTCTCCCTCCACCCCCGCCCCCCTAAACCACCACTTGTACAGGAAAAAGCTCAAATAAGAAGAGAGGAGAGAGCTAAAAGAAGAAAGCGATTGGAGGACATTAACTCCTTGAAGAGTATGGGCTATTCAGAGCGAACTGCTAGAGAAGCTCTTCATAATGCAAAAGGAGACCTTGAACTAGCGGTTAAGGTAAATGCTTTTCCAAACTTTTATTAAACTGCAAAAGAAAAATCCCACATTCAGTTGAAGTACATAAAAAGAAATTCTGTTGGCTTTATAGTTCTCTGGCCTTCTTCACTTTTATGGACCCTAACATTAAATCCCAACCTGGCGAATCAGGTTTCACTGTGCACTGATATGTAGAGTCTTGAACATGTTCATTGGACAACGCTCTTGATTCTAGGAGTTTCTTACCAAGCCTCCCTGTGCCTGGATCTGCGAAATGAAACAAATGGATTTCAGCCGCAAACAAGTTCACTGAGCAAATAAGGAAGAGGGGGTGTCAAGCTCCATTTGATGATCCAATGCCTGTTGTTTTCCCCCTAAAAAACTGAAAGGTGGCCATTAAAGCAAGAAATAATGGCTGTCTTTGTGGCTACTCTTCAGGAGTCCTACATTGAGGGTGGTCAGTGGCACCCAAAATGAGATGGAGGATAGTCCGGGGTGCATATAGTATCCCACCCCACTCTCCCAATTGTTTTTTTGGACAATCTAACACTTGTGTGAACTGGGGAGGTGTAAATTTGTTCAGTATATATACTCACTGTTTGTTGTCTGCTCTAGATTATGCTTGAAAACCCTCACCTACTCCTATCAGATGATGACGATCCGGTGCCCAGGAACCAGTTTCAAGTTCCCCAGGAAAGTATTGATCAAGTAAGTCCAGAGAATAAGCTTACATTTAAGAAAAACAAATCCAGTGACTTTTAGGGTTATCAGGCCTTGTTCTCCTTCTAAGGTCCAGTTATAGTTCATTGCAAGCTACTGTTTACTTCAGCAAAGCCGATTAGTAGACCCTAGGTATATTTGTGGTGCATTTTCCCCAAACCCATACCTCTTGCATCGTGGAACAAGAGCTGAGAGTGTGGCGTTTGTATATGGGACGTGCACTTCAAACTCCCATTCAGCCATGCAGTGGTAGCCTTAGGCAACTGTTCTCTCTTGGTGGAACCCAAATTAAAGTCATTCTTAGAGTGAGATTTATTGAAATCAATGATGCTTAAGTTAGTTATGACTTGGGTCTAAATCTGACTGCGTGCTGTCTTTTTGTGTTACCGTAACCTAGCTTATCAGGGATGCGGGTGGCGCTGTGGGTTAAACCACAGAGCCTAGGACTTGCCGATCAGAAGGTTGGCGGTTCAAATTCCCATGACGGGGTGAGCACCCATTGCTCGGTCCCTGCTCCTGCCAACCTAAGCAGTTCGAAAGCACGTCAAAGTGCAAGTAGATAAATAGGTACCGCTGCGGCAGGAAGGTAAACAGCGTTTCCGTGCGCTGCTCTGGTTCGCCAGAAGCGGCTTAGTCATGCTGGCCACATGTACGCCGACTCCCTCGGCCAATAAAGCGAGATGAGCACCGCAACCCCAGAGTTGGCCACGACTGGACCTAATGGTCAGGGGTCCCTTTACCTTTAACCTAGCTTATCAAGCTGTTCTGACATGAAAATGCTATGTTGCCCTCTTTGGAGGAAGGGTCCAATGGCTGGTGACGTGTATATCTTCCTTGTCCTTTTCTTGCTTAGTTGGTGTATATGGGCTTTACTCCTGAAGCAGCAGAGCAAGCTCTGAAAGTGTTTAAAGGCAACATTCAGCTGGCTGTGCAAACACTTGCTCATTATGGGGGATCTCTCCCTGCTGAATTACAGACCCCTTCAGATAGCATCACTCCCTCAGATGAATCCAGTTCGTCAAAAGACTCTCCTACGGACTCTGCAGGTAAAGGGGTGGGTGAGATACTGTGGGGTGATGAAACCAGGAGAGAAGAGGAAATTATGTCGCATACATAGTGCCGGTTGAGACAAGGAAGATGGAGCACAGAAATACTGGGAAATTTCCTTCTCCGTGGGCAGCTTCATACATGTTTGGACTGTAGCAGCAAGGAGAATGTTAAGTCAGACACTGCACTATAAAGTCGAGGTGATTCACACATTCAGCTGTGAGTTCTTATCACACGATGCATGTGGGAACTGTTCCCCATTTCTCGAATTGCTTAGTTCTCCATATTGACTGTGCAGCTGCCAAGTAGCCGCATGATGGCTTGATGCTGTAAAACTGACAAGACAGCTTTACAGAAGTATTTCTGATGGTATGCACTGGAGGCATTTGATTTAGTCTTAGTGTTATTGTGCAGCTGATAGGTTTGTTTGTTTGTTTGTTTGTTTTATTTTCATTTAAGTAGGATAGCTCAGTTGGTAAAGCATGAGACTCTTAATCTCAGAACGTGGGTTCAAGACCCACATTGGCAAAATATTGCAGGGGGGCAGACTAGATGATCCTCATGGTTCCTTTCAACTCTACAATTCTGTGACTTACAAATAAGATAAGATATACCCAGTTAAAAAAACAACAGCCTAACCTCAACCACATTTAATTGCTGCAATTACTCTGACAGCATAATTTACTTTTTTATTTATTTTTATTTTGTTTTTATTTTTAATTTATTAATACCCCACCTTTCCACCAGAACCATGTCTTAAGGATGCTTACAAAAATTAAAACAAGCACAGATTCAACACAGAAAGATAAAGCAAATAAAAGATGAGTTTAAAAGTAATTAAAACAATGTTTAAAAAATCCTAAATATTAATATTAAAAACTCTAAAAACAGCACAGCACTATTAAATATTGACAATATTTCCTGATGGGAAATTTGTTGTTCCAAACATCACTAACGCTGCCCATCATTTCTTAGGCTGCTGAGACACTGCATCATGACCTGTCTGTACATCCATAATGGCTATTATTTTTGTCATAAGCATTATGTGCACAGTTTTTCTGCACTATACATTGGTAAATGGTAATTATTGAATATGTTATATGGTCATAAGCAACCAATCTATTATTTATTTATTTATTTATTTATTCCCCATAAATCATCTTACTATTTTCATTGTTATCAGGAGAGATACTAAAAGTGGTGAGTTAGTTGCAGACAGTTTGAGAGATACTGAACATGGTTTTTTTTTTATAGAAAAGAATAAGGGAGTACTCTGATGTGCTCTCTGAACTTCTTTGAGCAGGTTCCACATTTGAAAGTCTTGAAACTACGGTGGTGGGTGGGTTTGCATAGTTTCCTGAACTTCAATGCATGTCATAAATCTTCCTACAGTGGTGCCCCGCAAGACGAATGCCTCGCAAGACGGAAAACCTGCTAGACGAAAGGGTTTTCCGTTTTTGAGTTGCTTCGCAGGACGAATTTCCCTATGGGCTTGCTTCGCAAGACGAAAATGTCTTGCGAGTCTTGAGATTTTTTTTTCCGCTCCCCCCCCCTTTTTCTAAGCCACTAATAGCCTTTTAGCAGCTAAACCGATAAACCTTTAATAGCCGCTAAACCGCTAATAGCGCTAATCCGCTAAGCTGCTAATAGGGTTGCTTCGCAAGACGAAAAAACCGCTAGACGAAGACACTCGCGGAACGGATTAATTTCGTCTTGCGAGGCACCACTGTATCATGAATGTATTGCAATGGCAGGTCCTTCTGGCCCCTTCCTAGGTCATAAAGTCAGAGACTTCTTTTGCCACCTTAATATCTTTATAGAAGATCACTGAAGTTAGTGGAGAGGACTCTGATGCCCACTTGTTCCCTCACAACATCCTTGTACTACTTAGGCTATGTATAGATAGATGTTTTTTCATGTGTATATATAGACTAGGAACATCCCATTCTTTCAGGTGGATTGCTAGTCTTAGCTATCCAGTATCATAGCAGATATCCCGTCTAGACTCCCACCATTGACCCAGAGAACTTAATACGGCTATGCATTAATGTTAATTACCATTGCTGTCTGGCGATGCCATCCCCTTGTCCCTCCATCTCCATTACGAAACCTCAGCTTTGATGCCAGGGATTTTGGTAGGTCCAAACAAAGTAGTTTATAATTGCTTGAATCAAGTTCAGCTTTTCTTCCTTGGGCAGTTTTATTATCAAGTTACGAAAGAAAGAAAAACTCAGGCAAGACGTGCATTTTTAGCGTTGTCGTCCTGTCCAGCAGAGTTATGTTTTTAATTTGGACCGCTCTAGTATTTGCTGTTTCGCCTTGAATGTGAGGGTATTATTTTCGACCGTTTATTTTTTCTGTCGTTAGAAAAAGTGCCCCAGATATCTCCCTATGTTTGGCTTTCCACTTAGCTTCACATCAGTGGGCAATTTCCACTTCAGTTGTGTCTCTGTTTACTCAGACTTGTCAAAACTCATATACTGCCAGATCTCAAAAAAAGCTCATTTAACTGTGACAAGGTTAAGGCTCTTGGGGGTAAGGGGAGAATCCAGGCTCTCCAACCATGTGTCTTCCACCCTAAGTCATCCTGTGGACTCTAGGGTACAACATTGATCAATACATCAGATACCAAAGATGACAGGGGAGCCTTGTTTTATGCCTCTCTGAAGATAGACAGTCCTTGACTGCTGCCCATTGCCCAGAATGCCACCTGTAAAAGGAATCTATCCAAATTCTTATCCCATACGTTTAAAGTTTATCTAAAGCACCTCTTAAAATATTACATCTCCTTTCTGCATCTTCTGTGCATTCATTAATGGAGAAATGGACACAATTCGTTATACCAATTACTACATCTTTTGTTTTTGTTCATGGGGGAGCGGGCTGCTTATGTAAAAATTAGATCAAATTCCTCCCTTAAGAAAAGAGAGCCGTCATTTTTAATGGGTTGTTCAACCCACTTACATCCAAGCTCATCCATTTGAAATTACTCATTTTTTTATTTTTTGTCTGAAAAAAGAGAAAAGGAAAAAGAGAAAAGAAGAAAGAGGAAAAACTCAAGGTAATAACGGCCTTCCTATTATCACTAATTGCTTGTCGGAATGAGATGAAACAGTATAATTAAACTCAAAGATGGCACCCTAAAATTCCCCACTGTATCTTCAGGGCAGCACTGCCTTCACAATCTTCTTTATTTCTTATATCCTCTGTTGTCATGTCATTTAAAGCTACACTTTCAACCTCCTCTGAGCTTATATATATGTTATATACCCTCTGCCTCTTGCACTGAGTGATAGTCAGCTCTCTTTAATAATCTACCATTAATTTCATGGGAAACCCCAATCTGTATATTCACTTTTCTTTACTTAATGGTGGTTTAAAAAAATGTAATTCCCTCCTTTTCAAGTATAAACCTGAATAAACTAAAACTTCCAATCATTCTACCATCAATTTAGGGATTTTGTATAGTGCATTTCCTCTAAATCTTTCCTCTGCCTGTTCTATAATTTTACTAAGAGATTTTGAGGCATGTTGGTTTTTCTAAAATGTTTATTTAAGATCCTATGGTTGAAATCCTATGCCCATTTTCCTAGAAGTAAGCCCCTCTGAACACAGTGGGCCTTTGAGTAAGCATGCACAGGTTTGTGTTGTAAAAGCTTTAACAATCTTTGCTTTGGTCTTAATACCTGAACTTATACATGCAGTGATCAGTTCCTTTAGACTGCAATCCCATACACACTCACTTTGGAGTAAGTCCTACTGTGACTTAATTCTGAATAGACATGTATAGGATTACGCTTTTACATAAAGAACTAGCTCAGCTCCATCTCCTTCCTTCAGTCTTCTTACTCTGATGATACCCTGTTCTTATGCTTCTGATGTCTATATCCTCTGAGGGATCTGAGAATTTATCTGCTGTCTCTTCTTGTTCATTAAACCTTTTGCTTGTATGTGAAAGGCTCTTACAAACTTGTTTGTACTTGTCACAATTTCCTAGATTCCTTTTTGTATTTTAACCACTTTCTGTTCTTATACTAAATTTGTTTTATGCTTGAACGCTCTAAATCTAAAGAGCTTACTTTCAAATGTTGGCTTCTGCTTCATGCATGGATTTTATAATGGGTTGCATGTAGCCAATGCTGGTTCTACTCTGAGTAGGGCCATTAAAATTAATGGACATAACTAACTTAGGTCCATTGAGTTGGATACAACCCACTAAATGATATTTTTCTTTAAATATTAGCTCTTTATCCATAAAAAAGTCTTGCACAGTGACGGCTTGAATAGATTCCAGGGTCAAGTCACTAGCATCTTGGGGTGGCCCCTCCCCCCTTTCGTTATGTTAATGTTCACAATACCGTTGTCAGTAACTAGTTACGGGTCTGGACGTTATGGAAATAATCCCTGCTTCTCATCCCCCACTGATACCGTGCTTGATAGAATCTGGAAAAGGTTTAAGTCTGAACAGTACATCTCAACTATTGACCAGATTAGAGATTCCTATAAAGCCTTTTACCAAATCAAATTGTTGATGCAAAGTACTGTTGCAGAAGAGCTAATGTTATGGTGAGGTACCTTTTGAGACTTGAGAATTAGAGACTTTTCCGTCGTGTGTGCTACATGCCTGTCTTGTTTGCAGGCACTTCCGGGGCTTCAACTGATGAAGACATGGAAGTAGATGCTGTCAATGAAATCTTAGAGGACATCCCAGAGCACGAAGAAGATTATCTGGACCTAACTCTGGAAGAGGAAGAGCTTGTCATCAATGAATACCTCTCTTACATACAGCACCTGCAAACACAGTCCCAGTAGGCAAATTCTGAAAGACTCCAGTATCACATACATGAACCAGCATTTGTGGGGCTTAGATCCAGGGGGGAAATTAGTTGCATGTAAGTCGCAGTGAAGTCAGTGGGTCATGACTAATTTTAAGTGTAATGTACTTAGTCTAGATTAGGACCGTGGACTTCTAATACTTAGATTGCAAATATGTCTGACCCTCTTTTTGCCAAATGCCTTAAGTTAAGTCAGTTGCATATTTTTTAAAAACAAACACTGGCATGAGTAAAACCTGTAGTACTATTAATCTAGAGTGACACTGGAGAGGAATACATTTAATTGTAGAACAAAAATATTTGCAGAAGAAATATTTTTATAGAGAGCTTCGATATATTATATTGGTGTGAAATTCATCTATTTAATTAGTAGAGCAAATAAAATCAGTTCTGCATACATTCACAAAACCCAGATTTCTTTTAAAACCGCAGATCTGACTGTGACAGCACATACATAGTATCCACTGTGACTAGCTCTAATATCTTCTGGTCGCAGAAATAGAGACCTAAGTGTATAGATTTTGTCCGTTCTTATAGAGCTTTTTCTGGCCATCCTGTATTCTAGAGCCAGCTGTAAATCTATGGTGCATGGACTTTAAAGAGCTCCTTTTTTCAATAATGCAGTAACAACCGATAAAAAAACCCCCACCCATCCATCACATTTATTGCAGTTTCCCCATAAAGCTGAGGACTGCCCATTTGGAAGTGGTAGGCACTGAAGTTAATTAATTATCTTTAAAGGAAGAGGCTCTTGGGCAATGTCCCATGTTGCTTTTCCCTGCTGATGCTTTTCCCTGGAAAAGTGATACAAGTATGGATATTCATACTATACAAATAGCCAAACATGTGCTTGAACTTCAGTTGCAGCACATCAGTTTAGGAGTCTTTTGTTTCAATTGCAGCCATTTTGTGACCTCTTCCCCTTGTTGTCAGAATGCAAATGAAAGAAATACTGCAAGCAGAGCTTTTAGAAATGGGCTGGTGGGTTCTCCTGAGCTGCCTTGCTTAACCCTGTTCAAGAAGGAAATTGTGTGGCCTCGCTTGCACTAAACCAAACCATGCCTTAGCAAAAAGGAGCAAGTATGCCAGGCACTCAGAGTGAATATCATGGTCACTAGGCCGTGGTTCGGTTTAGTGCTGTGAGTGAACCTAGACTTGTGTGTCTCCCTGAAACAAACCACTAGTGGTGAATCTAGAACCACAAACTTGGATTCACACACAACACCAAGCCCAAACCATGCCTTAGCTCTGGGTAATATGGCAGCAGCAGGACAAGGGGAGGAGTGAAAGGGTTGTGATTTTTGCTCTGGGTACCAGCACACATGCTCATTTTTGCCAAGCCATAATTTGGCTTAGTGTTACGCGCAACCTGTGACGTGGTCTTTAGTCTAGGCTGTGCTTGTTCAGTAGTACCAAAATTTAAGGTTTCTTGCCTTAAAAATAGAAGTGTGTTAAAAGTACAAAGGCAGGCGCCATGCTGTGTTAAACCATTAAACCATCCAGTTCAGTACTGATAACTCATGCCATCATTGGCTCTGTGGGATCTCATGCAAAGAAACACCTTTTCCAGTTTTTGCAATATCCCGTAACTGCTAAATCTGTGTCTTCAGTAAATCATCCTGCACTGTTATCACTGCTGATTAGCAAACCTTGGAAAATTAACTTGCAAACTGCAGCCATAGAGAGCCTATAGGAGGTGGTTTTGATCTGGACAGGGTTGGCAACGTGGTACGATTCTTCCTTGTACTGCTGGCTTACAAATCACTCCCCTCCTTTATCCTTCCAACGCAAATTAAGCCCCTCTTGATAACCAGACAGGGAACTACTGGTTGTAGTGGTGATGTAGCCACAATCTCATGTGCATTTATGTATACACCAGTTTTTGCAGCTATAAACAAGGGGAAGTAAATAAAGAATTGTTGGTAAAAACATGGCAGACACTATTTTTTAACCTGCCTAGCAGTCCTAGTTCTGAAGGGAGCCTCCAATGTGTTTAAAATGCAACAAAATAGGCAAAAGAAACTATTAAGAGGCAAATGTGTATACAAGTTTTTTTCCGCAGATGTTCCAGCTGCTACTGTGCTTCTGAATCCCTGGACCACAAAAAAATCTCAGAGTAAATTGCTCTGAAATGTTAGTCTCTCACCTAGGAGGCTGCCATTGCCTCCTTAAATCTCCTGTAGTTTGGTCTCCTGGGGGCAGATTCAAGAGGCACCAGGAGAGCAAACGTGTTTATATAGCAATAAAGCTTCATGATCTTAACTGGCACCCACATTTTAAGTATTAATGAAGAACTACAATTATTGCCTTTGATCTAGTAACTTCTGTTTTTATGATGTGATGGTTCTTGCACCCAAACCTTTCCTCCTGTGACACAGGATAAAAACCTTGGTCCTTGAAGAGACCTTCCCAAACTGAAAAATAAGTTGCTGTCTCGCCACTAGAGGTCAGCCGGGATTCATTCAGTATTTTAACTAATATGAGACAGAAATGCAGGGTTCCTGTTCTGGAGATAATGCTCCTTAAGGCTGTGCTGGACTTGCTGCCATTAAAATGGCTTGGTCAGGACAGGGGCAGGCAGCCAGGTCACGGAGCATCATTCTCCCATCAAGGCACACCCCAAAAGCCACAAACCAAGTCTGATCATCAGAAGGCGATCTTGAACCTGGATGTATTGTGTGCACATTAGGCACCTTACTTCACTTTTCCAAGGGACAGGACTAGAAAATGGTAGGTTTCGTTTTTCTGAAATGTCCTGATGCACTTTGGGTGGTAACTTTATGATTGAACACAGTCATTTGGGTGATGACAAGTATCAGGCACATGAGATTTGCTTCTCAGATAAGGGGGGATGTAGCAGCTCCTACCAGTGTCATTGTCCTTACAACTAACTAGCACTTTCTGATGGGAAGACAATGTGCTGGTTATCTGTTGTTTTCAGCCATACAGACAGAATAAAGAGTATCTGCACTTGCTTGGAGACTTAATTCATTTTATGAATTCTTGAAAAGCCCAGCCATAGTGGTGGAGAGGAAGTGGGGCTCCTGACACTTTTTCTGTAGCCTTTTTGGTGCTAGGTTTCTTAACTGTGTTTTAAATACAATGGTACCTCAGGTTAAGAACTTAATTCGTTCGGGAGGTCCATTCTTAACCTGAAACTGTTCTTAACCTGAAGCACCACTTTAGCTAATAGCTGCCGCTGCGCCACCGCTGCACGATTTCTGTTCTCATCCTGAAGCAAAGTTCTTAACCCGATGTAATATTTCTGGGTTAGTGGAGTCTGTAACCTGAAGCGTATGTAACCCGAGGTACCACTGCACAGGCTGTGAACAGTGCTTGCTTGCTTGCTGTGTCTGTTGTAAAGACACTTTTTGCTTTTTACAGCTTGTTTCTAATTGTGTTATATTGGTGTGTGTGTATATATATAATAGTTGTATCTCCATTTACGTAACCCTCTGGTTATGCAAACTTCGGGATGCGCGCGTGGCAAACCTGGAAGTATTTTACCAGGTTTTGCCTCGCATGCGCAGAAGTTGCAACCTCAGGTTGCGGAAACCTCGGGATCCGACCCAACCTCCGGAACGGATCCTGTCTGCAACCGGAGGTATCACTGTATATATAAATTTGTCAACTGCCCTGGGAATATTTCCTGATGGTTGGCTAGAGAAATTTAATAACAATTTCAATGGTCGTGATTTACCCAGGCATGCAAGCCTGTTAACATGAGCAGAAAACTGAGGGTAAGTTGTAGTTTGAGAGACAAGGAGACGTGTGCCACCCTGTGACATCTTCCCCCAAGAAGTACAAGTCCCCAAGTTCCTTTGTTCTTGTTGACACTTCCTATGCATAGGCAGCAGGAGCCAGCAAGGCTTGGCCTCTTGACTGGCAGCATGAGGAAGAGACAAACAGTAATTGAAGGCGGTGAGAGCTCAGGGACAGTGGAAGCCAGTGCTCCAAACATGTGAGTTAAAGCTTTAGTCTTCTGGCTCCAGAGCACCTAAAAAGATTTGTCATCCATGCCATACATTTAAAGCGCTCTTATCTCACTGTTAACAGCCATGGTCTCCCAGATAATCCTGGGATGTGTAGTTTGTTAAGGGTGCTGAGAGTAATGAGAGTAATGAGCTGCCACAGAGCTACAATTCTCAGCACCCTTTATACAAACTACAGTTCCCAGAGCACTTTGCAGGAAGCCATAACTGTTGAAATTAAGGAACAGGAAATTGTCTGTTGGCTTTTGTCATGCATGTTTATAATTGAAACACCATCCTGAGCAAATCAAGCATCCAGAAGTGTAAGCAAGTTTAAACAAAGCTAACATGCGTGGATGTTGAATGATGGGGGAAATTTTAAAATAAATAAGAGGAATAAGAATACAGGGCTAGTTCAATTACACTATACCATAGGGTATCGTAAGTAAGGGTATGGGCAAGAAGCAATTCCAGAAGGCCCAGGAGAAGCAGACGGCAGTGGTGAGGAGAGGGGATTACTAGGAATGAGATCAGGAGATGCTGGGGAGCTGCCATGTTTGCAGGCAAGCAGTCAAGGCACATGCAGGCTCTTCGGTCAGTGGGGCTCAGCAACCACCTGGACAAATGTGCCACTCAAGCAGCCTGGGAACATGAGCCCTTCAGGGGGCCTCTGGCATTTGAGGCTGATGATAACATGGATAGAATACTGCCCTACTTTACAAAAGAGGTTATGTGGAGAAGGTCCATAGCACCTCCAGCTAGTGCTGGGAGTGCTCCTTTCCTGAAACCCTGGAGAGCTGCTGCCAGTCAGTGTAGACAGTACTGAGTTAGATGGTCCACCGGTCTAACTCATGTAAGGCAGCTTCCTGTCTTCCACTGAAACGTTAATGGGGAGACGCCTCGCAAGCGGCTTCTTTTCGTAAGGAAGCCATCCATTAGCACCTACCGTGTGCCATTTGGCTTTCCTTTTTAAAAATAAGTTTTAAAAATTCGTAGAGTTGTCACATTTATGAGTACTATGAGAGCTAATCAGTGTAGAAGCCATTAGCCCTGCGTCTTTTACTTGGAACGCTGAAAGCACCCCAAAAGCTGCCACTCCAGCTGGAAAGAATTGTGCAAGTATTTGCAGTTTGCACAGCAAGAGTAATTGGCAGAAGCGTGAGAATGTTGTAATCTGCTCAGGAACAGGAAAGCAAATAAAAGATGCATTCATCCACCCCAAACGAGCAGGCAGAAGAATTGGCTGGAAGCCTCGAAAGCCGTCCCGTCCCCCCACCAACTCTCTGACACTGTAGGACTGGTACTATTGAAGTCAATTGAACTACTCCACAGTCTCCCCCACTGCCCCTTTTTCTCCTGTACCCAGTTAACTCTGCTGCTCATCCTTGCTCAAAACCTATCAAGATTGCAACCCCCTAATAAGAATAATAAGAATAATAAGAATAATAATCCAGTCATTTAAAAATAAAATATTGGCCCATGCCCTGCAGGGAGCTCTTGTGCAGCTTACACCAAATACTCCCCTTTCTCCCTTTTATCTTAGGGATCTTTAGCCTCTTGGTTTTTCCCCCATATATGAGTTACACTTCTGAACGAATGAACTTTATTACGGTCACAGACCAGCATAAGAAAAGCATTCCATATTTGTATTTTTTGTACTTCTGCCAACCTCTGGTATTTCCCATTAGCATGATGCTACCTCCATTCTTGGCTTCCTGTTTCCCCTCCATTTCCCTCAGCACTGCCCACCTGAGTTGTTATTGGAGGAAATGGCTGTTTCATTAAAGGCAAACTGAAAGCAAGGTTTGTCACCTGCTTTGGCATTGTATGATTTTTATTATTACTGGAATGAAAAGCTGCTGGAGGGAACCAGATTAGGACTATGGGGTGGGAATGGTAGCAGTGGGGACACCAATTGGGATCACTGTAGGGGCAATGGGTGAATGCACAACCTGCTTTGGCCAGCTAGCATTTGGGTCTTTTTAATTCAATCTAGTGAAGAGAGAGGATGATGATAAAGTATACACACACTTCATATTTGTATAGCACTTGCACCGTTCAAAGCATTTCACTGCATACACTATTTGCAGTAATCCTTACACCAGACCTGTAAAGTAGGCCACTGTTGTTATTGCAGATGGGGAGGCTGAGGTTGAACTAACCTCAGGGCCAGGTAGTGGATTTGTGGCTGAGAGATGTGAACCAGTAGCCTCACAGCTCATTCTCTCAAGTCACTACACCAGGAATGGGCTTTGGGAGGAAAGCAGTGATTCCTGCTGACCCACCCACCAGCAGTGCCTTCTTGAGTTGGCCTTCTAGCAATATAACTTGCTGTTTAGAGGTATAGGATCAGCCTTGTAGGCCAAATTTGACAGAAGGTGGGACTGCCCTTCTGTCAACCACCTCACATCACAATGACATCAGGTGCAAGGTGCTTTGAAGTCCCAAAGTTGGGTTTCAAAGCACCTTGCAAGTCGTTGCTAAAAGGAAGGATTTCTCCCTCTGCTTTTGCAGAGGATTCCATGCAAACCCTTCCCTGAAACATTAGAGGGTTTGGCTGGAATGCTGCCAAAATGAGCAGGATTTAACCCTACACAGCTGATGAGCAGGGTTGTTAATTCCTGCTGCTTTGGCTGCATGTGTTTGTTACCTGCTGGTAACAGGCGCATGCAGGCAATGCAGGATTTAAGTCCATCGGATGATATAATGAGTGTTGTCAGCTGATGGGAAGGTGTGCATGGTTAGAGGAAAATGGTCTTCTAGGCCAGCTTGGATGCCTTGGTGGGCTAAAATTAGCCCACAGGCCAGAGGTTCCTGGTCCCTGGGATAGAGGAATACAGTACAGCACTTACAAAATTGCTGCCTTCCTTTTCTCCCCCATGCCAGTTATATTTCATGTATTAAACTTTCATTTGATGCCAATGCTGTAGAATAAGGAAGCCTTTCTCCTGCTGTGATTAAAATCAGCCCAAAAAAAGAGAGGACACATTAAGTGTTATCTCTATGACAGTTTTTATTACCCCCCCCCTTCTTTGTCACAGGCACTGGCTCGGTATGCTACACAACAAAGAAAGCCACACACAAGTGATTAAAGTACTTGTTTCAGTTAAACACTGCTACAACAAAATCCACAACATCATAGTTACGTATTTATGGCTCAGTGGTTAAACAAACATCAGAGGGAGAAAGGAGAAAACCAGGGTAAAAGATTGCTTCCCCAGGTGGAGAAACTCAGCCGCACAAGCAACAGAGGTCTTCCAAAGCCTCATGCTAGACTCTACTTCCTTTGTCTTTCATGAACAGAAAAGCAGCTCACACAGCTTCCACTCCACACACGTCCCATCTCAAGGACAGGTTCCAAGTCACTCTGCTGGGCCCTTATTCCACACATTCACACACACACACATCTTTGCTGCAAGGGTTCCTCTCCAGTGAAGGACAGGAGATGTATCTCCCTGCTCCTTCTGCCAGCAAGGAACCTACACACCTTTACTTCTGAAAGAGCTTACGTCAGACCCTCATATCATCACCAGTCCCCATGGAGATTATCACAAGTATCTCCTACCCACTTACAAAAAACACTCCATATTTTACCCTGATAGAACCCAGACCAATTTGCTCCAACCGTATCCTCATGAAGACAAGCCCAACCATTTTCCAGTTCCCAAATGTTGCCAGAAACCTCTCACCCTGAAACCCAGTTTTGCTTTTAAGAATCCAGCCTTTTGCTTTTAACGGAAGTTTGAAAAACAAATCAGTAAGTGAGGCTGTTTGTGGCCTGGAGTTGAATATGCTCGTCTGTAGATCAAACTCTTGTTTAAGGGCCACCTGGAGAGGCCAGTGCAAAAGCTCACAACCTACCACAATGGCAATTTCTGCACATCACACTAAACTAAGCCACAGCCTAGTGCAGATGCGGAAATGCGCTGGCTCTCTTAAGTGGAAAGGCAGCTGTGCAAAGTGCTGATTGGTGGGTGGCTGTGATCCCACCTTGGATGCAATATGCTTTGCATATGCATCATGCTCTACAGGGAGCGGCGGGGGGGGGGAGGTTGTAAAAGTGCCACATCATTCATGAACTTATCCATCCATTTAGCATGATTCATTTGCAAATAATTGCAAAACTGCTCAGAGGAGAACGAGGGATTACAGACATCAGTAATCAGTGCTCTGCTTAGCTGGCTCTGCTGCAAAACCCAGAGAAGCAGTTTCCCCTGGTGTTAAATTATGGAATGGGAATATGTTGTTAACAAGGCATTAAGTACACATCCAATGCACGGCAACTGCTTTTTTCTGCATGTACCATTAAATACCTTTCCAGGTCTGGGCACAAAGCAAATGGGGGGGGGGGGAGTTACCATATACCCCTGTTCTGTGACATGCCACCTAAACATGACCTCAGGCTCCCTAACCTTCTATGACTGACCTGTTAAAGCTCTGGCTTCCACCCCTGAGTCTTCCTTGCCCCCTCCCTTTCTGAGCAGCTCCTAGTTGTACTGGCTCTGCGGGCCCAGTTGCTTAGAAATCTGCACCTGCAGCGTGCAGGATGAGACATCTCTGTGGGCGACAAATGGTGTGTGATGCAGTAGGCCAACAAAACGGGCATTTCTATATGTTCACGAGAATAGATACATCATCATGAAATAGGTATTTGTCATAGTTCACCTCCTTACTTCTTTTTTTATTGCATTTCATCAGTATCAGGCCAGGATCGTGCCCACACAGCTTGTGACCCACCTTGCTGAACGCAGCCCACCCAGGATACAAGGCTGTGGCCAGCCAGGTGCTTGATTATGGCAGGCGGGCAGAAATGCCAGGACATGGAATTTGAGCCCCTGATAGGCCTGCTCAGTATAATGAGCTACAGGCTGCATTTGGCTTGGTAAGTCAGTTGGCTCAGGCGTTCCCTTATGTAGTTGACTGGGTGCTTCCTGTCCTCTCGCACCAGCCCAGCCGTCACACGAGCTCCATGGCCTCCTGCTCCCCCCTGTTTTCCTGGTGCACCATGCAGCCCACTTTGTTGTTGAAGAGCCGAGACAGGCTTCCCTTCTGAGAACGCCTGCCCTGGATCGACCTCTCCTTCCAGCGCCGCTTGCTCCGCTTGCTGACCTGCCGTATGTCCCAGATCCTTAGCGTGCCGTCGTGGGAGGCCGTGTACAGTAATTCGTTGTGAATCTGGAACAAAAGTGCCGTATTTTAAAAGGGCAGCTTAACCATAATCACAACACAGCACACAGAAGCAAAGAGGCAGCTTCTCTGTTCCTTTTTTTGTACAACCCATTTGTGGAGCAGGGTTTTCTCCCTTCCTTCTGAGCCCAATCCCAGGTGTGGGTGGGGTGGCTGGTTACAAAGATGTAAAGCAACCGCCTCCTTTATTATTTCATGGTACAGTGGACACTTGGGATGCGAACGTGATCCATGCGGGATACACGTTTGCAATCCACAGCGGCGCATCTGCGCACGCGCGGGTTGCGATTCGGTGTTTCTGCACATGCACGACCCCCGAAACCTGGAAGTAGCCCGTTCCGGTACTTCTGGGTTTTGGCAGGTCTGTAACCCAAAAAAACACACAACCTGAAGCGTCTGTAACCCGAGGTATGACTGTATGGTGGTTCAGTTTGCGGCCCAAGGGCCGTATGTGGCCCTCAATGCCTTTTTTGATTAGCCCTCGGCAAAATTTGACACACACCCCAACCTTCACACTGCCTCCCCAAATATGCTTTCCAGGGGAGTTGTAGATCAGCAACATCTGGAGGACCAAAGGTTCCTCACATCTGTGATATGTGACAGGTAAAAAGACACCCACAGTTTTGTCAGAGGCAGGACCTGTTCATGTGCAACCAAAGGGAGCACGCAAAGAAAACGGGAAGTACTCCTTTATTCCCCCTCACCCTGCCTCCAGCATGATGAGAAGAAGAAAGTGTAGCAAGCACAGAAGGAACAAAGTCTGGCAGAGGAGGCCTGCTAATGCCTGCCACTCAGAAGCAGACACAACACCCAGCTTCAAACCGATAGTGGCAGGAGATGCAATCCTAATTTTATTTATACTTAAACACCGAAGTAATTTTTAACAAAGTGTTTCAAATGTAACGAAACCTGAAGAGGCATCATTATCTTGACCTCCTGGCTCCCACTTCCTGCGGGCTCCATCCAAAAAACAAAGGGCTCTTGACTCACCCCACTCCATGCAGCACAAAAGAGCATTAGAGCGTTGTTTTTTCCAGGGAGCTGCTCACTGCCATGTGCCTATCTTGGCTCACGAATGTGAGTGCATAACAGAAGAGCACAGCCAATGCCTCTCTCGCTGCTCACTCTGACGGAAGCTTTTGGCCTTCATCTCAGGCATGTTGGGTGCATAATTATGAGAGGGCTCTGCTAAAGAGTCCACTTCTGTTTACTGGGGAGGAATGGGTGAAAGAGCTTTTTTGCATGTGCCTTAGCTCACTGAGAGCTTGCAGACTGGGGTTATAGCAAGCAGCCAGGTATGAAGTCTACGGGGGCTGGCTTGAATCCCCAGGTTGCCTAAGCAACATTTGGTTGGATATTGTGAATTAACTTAGGACCCAGTCACCATGGATGGGTCTGGAACTTATTTTAAAGCTGTCTAAGCAAATCAACTTCACAGGGTGACCCTATGAGCAAGGAAACAATCCCCCCCCCCCAGTAGAGCCTTTTTCTTAAGAATCTTCCACATCCATCACTGCACAACAATCAATGAGTATCGGTAACAATGTCAGTCCATTGTTCCATCTGGCTGAGCCTTTGTCTGGACCAGCAGGAAGGAGCTTTTCAATGCTCTTTTCTAGCCTACCTGGAGATGCTGAGGATTGAACCTGAGGCCTTCAGCATCCAAAGCATGTGTTATAAAAGTGAGCTATGGCCCAGCCTGCCATTAATAGCTAACAGAAGGAACCCTTAAGTACTTGTAAAGGAAGTGACACCAAACAGTTCCTGACCCACAGAGCTATAGCCAAGTGTTGTGCAGCTGCTCTTTGTGAGGCTCACCTGGATGCAGTTAATAACCAGCTTGTGACCTCGGAACACTCTTTGCAGGATGCCGGTCTTGGTATTAAAAGCTCGGGCACAGGCGTCACCACTTCCTGTAAACACTGTAATGAAAACAAGGATGAGGGACCTTTTCAGAAAAACTTTTTTTATTATTCGTTTGCTATTAAAATGTTTGTTTTCTCCTATTTTCAACCCAAAGGGTCAGCTTGGCAGGCAACAAAGCGAAGATTCAAACTACACAAGATAAGTGTCATTGAATTCATCAGAACTTACTCCCTGATAAGTCGGTTCAGGGTTGTAGCCTAAAGCGAGTCTTATAAGAGCAAGGGGTGGAACAGAGAAGGTAAATGTGCCAACCCTTTGGGAATTATTTTCAGCTAATTCCTATTTTTGATAGCTAATTCTAATTTGATAATCCACCCTGAGGCTGAATATAGCACTCAATAAAATAAGAATTTATGTCAGGGGAGTCGTAATGTATTTTTTCGCTTTTTATCCTCACAGTAACCTGAAAGGTAGGCTGGGATGGGCACTTTCCCCAATTCTCTCAGTGAAATTCACAAGGAGGGGAACTGAACCCAACTATCTTATATATTTTGGCACTCCTCAGCTTTACATTTTTTTTAATTTATAAGCATTCACCAAATACCAAAGATGGAAACAACTGGCACATGCAAAAAAAAGCCTTAAAATTTATGACATCAATAAGAATTTATGACATCAATTATAAATTAAATCAAAGCTAAACACCCTATATAGCCATGTAATTTCCTTTTCTATCAGTTGGGCACGAAGACCAAATATACCACAGGATGTAACACAAACAATGAATCACTTAGCAAGCAGAATGAGATTTTCTTTTCTTTAATTAATTGTTTGAACAACAGAGCAAGTCATTTTTAATCTTAGTGTCTTCTAAAAAGGGGCATTTCTATTTGGAATGTGTTAAATATTCTTTTTCATTCAATTAACCCAGGGCATTTTTTACTTTGAAAAGGTATCCTGCTATAGAGACCCATAATCACAGGGTTCATGTGATAAACATAATCAAACAAAGGTTGCACTTACAATCCAGACATGCTGTAAAGCAAGAAAAGGCTTCCGAAGGGTCCAGAATGGTGCCATGCCTGTCAAATTTAGAGTCCTCTCTTAAAGGCAATTCTTTGCCCTTTACCACCCACAGAGGTAATAGCTCCTCCCAGCACTCACATGGTATCTTTCTCCTCCCATCTAGCAATGAATTCTTATTAATGGGTCTAGGTGGCAAACAGTTCTGGGTTGCAAAGAGTGGCACAGCCTCTGTTAGGTGTATTGGGAAGGGAAGGGCATTAGGAGTGAATTACACACGACGTCCAATTCACCCTTAAGCTCCTGTTTTCTGTATTCAAAGCTAAAACATATCTCAAGAGGTCAAGGCCCATGGCTCAGTGGCAAAGAGCATGTCCTGCCTGCAGGTTAGATGGCTGGTATCTCCAGACTCCTGCCTGAAACCCTGGAGAGTTGCTGCCACTCTCTGCAAACAATACTGAGCTAGTTCCAGGTAGGTAGCCGTGTTGGTCTGCCGTAGTCGAAACAAAATAAAAAAAAATCCTTCCAGTAGCACCTTAGGGACCAACTATGTTATTGGTATGAGCTTTCGTGTGCATGTGCTCGGGCTCAGAATAAGGGAGCTCCTGACTGGCTATGGTGTTAAGATGACAAGACATGAAGGAATGCATTACTAAAGCATTCTAGAGCCAGCAACGTTTTTGCAGCTCAGGCTGCAAGGGGTAGACTCCTAGCTTTAGTTGCCAAGGATGCTTTCTGGTATGATTACTTCAGGTAGGCAAACATCCTCTCTACCCTTTCAATTCTAGCATGTCCAGGCTAAGAGGGAAGGAAACCTGTTGATGCAGAATGGGCATCAAAACACAACCGCAGCTGTTTTCAGCACAAATCATGCCATTTCAGCTGTATGCTTGCTGCACATCCAGTATGCAACTGGGGTTGTGTCAGCATGAATAAAGTCTGAAAGGGGTATCAGATTGGGTATATGTAGAAAAAATGCATGCAAAGCCAGTAACGCCCTCTGAGAACATTTATTACTTTACATCCAATTACTACGTTGTTGGGTGGTTTTTTTTAACAGAGATCAGGAGAACAGTCCAAGTTTGCCAACTGCCAGGATGATTTTGTGCCATCTGGAAGCATTTATTCCTTAAACGCAAAGGCCTTGGTCTGCTGCTACAGAAGGGGAGAGTGTGACTATCTCTGGATGAACAACTGACTGTTCTGCTTTTCTACCAAGGCCAAGGGTGCACAGGGGGCAAAAAATAAAGAAAGACCTAGTTCAGAATCCCTCTGCACTTGCAGCCCAAAATTGCCTTAAAGTACCCTCAACATTCAATTGAAGGTGGTGGGGGGGAGCATAATATAATTTGCAGTGTGGCTATGCATCTTAATCTTTCGGGCTAGCAAGGTAGGGTACTGCCAGCAGGGGAAGAGCCCCAATTTAACACTTGGCTTTTAAGTGGTAGCAGCTAATGCCAAGGGCATAATCTGCGAGCCACACCTCTGATTAAAGCCCCATTGGAATGAAGCCACCTGGACCATGGGCAGTGGGGGCATGAGGAGGAAGTTAGCTGCTAATGTAATTCCTTGCCACCGCAACCCAATATGCTCATTACCTACCATGCAGCTGAAAGGGATTCCAGCCTTCAAGTTACAGAGTCCCCTCTCTGCAGGCCAGAACTCTGGGCTACATGGATCCATTCCAGGGAGTTCATGCCAAAACCTACATGCTTCTATGACAGGGTAGGGAGTCTTTTTAGCCTGACATGCCAGATCCTTATCTCCCCACACCCCCATGGAAATATGACAGCTGGCTCGGCTGACCCATCTGTCAATCATCTGATGTCATAATGGCATCAGGCTACTGATATCTGGGTGGTCCTGCCTACCTGTCAAAGTTGACGGGGGTGGGGCTGTGTGCTATGCCAGTGTGTTCCCTTCACCTGATGAGCAAAGACTTCAGTCCTGCTCTCTGCAGGCGTCTGAGCAGGATTTAACCGCATCAGGTGATGAGAAAAGGGGTTACATCCTGCTACTTTGGGTGCACAGCCCCAACCCTGTAGGAAACAGGGGGTGCAACCAATGGAAAATTTTATTTTTGCTTTGTATTTATGTACTTAAGCCTAGATTGGTTTTTTCTTTGTAATGTTGAGTTTATTATGTGTTTCCTAAACTACAGATTTTTCCTATTTTGAATTTACTGACATATACTATATTTTGTATATTTGTACTTTTAATGCTTTGAATGTTTGCTGTACGCCACTTTGGGCACAACTTGTTGTGGAAAAGTGACATATAAGTAAACTCAATCAAAGCCCTGCCCTTGTATATCAGCTGACATCACTCACCCATCAGCGTGACATCAGCTGGGCATGGATTGGGTGAAATGGCCTTGTAAGCCAAACTGGATTTTCTAGCAGGCCAGGATTGGCCCACAGGCTGTGAATTCCTCACTTCTGTTCTAGGAGGTATTTGGTTTTTCTGCAGTATAGTTTTTCCACAAATGCCTGGAAAACTGGTTTAACCAGAGACCATAGCAAGCCACCAAAATGAGATTTAAAGCAATAACCACTGCTAAGTTTTTGAAAAGATGTCACTCATTCACAATCTACATCCTTAACAGGAATTTTTCATCGATACTCATCTGCTTTCACTTCTTGCAACATCTGTCAGTCAGATTTTTATTGTTTGCAGCCAATTTACTTATTACTTACTTTCAACTATTTATATACCACTTAATCACCAAAGTTGCTAAGCGGTGCCATTACAAGCTCTGCAACATACACAAAAGCAATTTCACAGGCCTGGTCTAAAAATATAAGTGTGTCTTCAACTCTAGCAAAGTGTGCCAGGTGAGCAAAATGGCATCAGGGATGAGAGGAAAGAAAATTCAAAATCTGAAACAAGATGAGCCTCTGCCTGGCTCTGTGTTTTTGGCTTACTTAACAAAATAAGGAGAATAGCATGGGGATGCTTGTCTCCTTCATACCCTCAGGACTTGGAAAGTTGTGGCAAAATTCTGCTATAAGGAGAATACACAGAAGGTGGTCGTTCCTGGACTAACATATCTGTTGCCAGTGGACAAGATGAGAAAAGGAAATTGGGAAGGTTTGTTGGAACTTACATATTCCAGCATGGTATTTCAAAGTGCTGACGCTGTGCTTGTGAGCCTTGAATGTCCGGACTCGCTCCCCGGTATCGGCCAACCAGCATTTCACCGTCCTGTCTGCACTCCCTGAATACAAGCGCCGATTCACAAGCTAAGAGGGGAAAGAGAGGAAAGATCACTTTCGCGAGGGAGCATTGTTTGGAGTCATGGTCATTTCAGTGCTACCTTCCCCCTGCAAAAAGAAAAACGATGACACAATTCAATGATATGATTGCAATGTAGAAAGCAGCACAGCTTTTGGAGCTCTAACACAGACCTCTGATCTTATGTTCTGCACGCAGCCAGGGCTCCCAGTGGGCCTCCAAATGGCTTTGAGATGTCAAAGAGGAACAGATGAAATAGCTCTCACTCTGCTAGTATAATTAGGAGCAGATCCTTTAAAGCTAGTGAAGCTCCATCCCTTTGCATATATCTGTAAATAAACCACGTATCATGAAGACCCCACAGTCTCCATGTGCCTCATTCCCAAAAGGAAACACGAATTCCTGGGTGAGCACCTGGAACCCCTGGAATCTCTCACCATTCAGAGACTGGTGTGGCATGCGACATTAGAGTATTAAAAACAGTTTAAAACAAGTGACACTCACAAGAAAGGAAGGTGTGTGGGTGTGGGTGTGATGGCAAAGGCCAGGGTAAAGAGTTGCATTTCAGCATAATGAATATGCTAGATGCACCTCTGTGGAGAGGGAATTCCATAACTTCCTGAACTTCTTAAGAGCAGTAGAACTACCTAGAGGGCCACCTCTGCTGAGCTTAACATCCAACAGTCTGTAGGAGAGGTAATGACTGCACAGTGGTACCTCGGAAGTCGAATGGAATCCATTTTGGAAGTCCGTTTGACTTCCAAAACATTTGGAAACCAAGGTGCAGCTTTTGATTGGCTGCAAGAAGCTCCTGCAACCAACTGAAGCCACGTTGGACATGCAGGTTCCAAAGAACGTTTGCAAACTGTAACACTCACTTCCGGTTTTGTGGTGTTCAGGAGCCAAAACGTTTGAGTCGCAAGGCATTCGTCAACCAAGGTATGACTGTACTTGTTTCTCAGAAAACGGAGGTACAAAGAATCCCTTGTATATGTTTCTAATTTAAAAGGCAGTGGATTAGAATGACTAACACAATGACTTGGGTAACATAGACTGGAGGTGGCAATTCAATTCAGGATAATAAACAAGCAAATCTATATGTATTTAGTTAATAGCAAGCAGTTTTTTAAAATGTAGGGTCAGATACAAAACTCTGGGCTCATCTACACTTAACATTTTGCCCTGTGCTTTCTAGGCAGAGATCCATGTTTTAAAGTGTAGTGTCAGAGCACCTCCCCCCCCCCACTGCTTTCCTCAGTAAAAACCGCTTTTTAACGCTGAATCTGAACAAGCAGCAATTCGGGTTTTCTGCAGAATGCTGTTTTCTCCAATGCAGAAGTAAAAATGCAGAAGTTTTCATGGGGAAAAGCACCAGCTCCAACACATAGCTTTAAAGAGCAGACGTGTTCCTAGAAAAGTGGCACAAAAGGAAGTCTGGATGAGCCCTCTGAGAAGCTGCACACTCCATTACCAAAGCCAATGTCTCCTACCAATTCCTATTTTCATCTATTTTCCTCTACAGAAAACATACATAGGCAAGAAACCCACAAAACAGCAAACTTTCTTGTTCAGAAAACTTCGGTTTGGTGCAGGTTCCCCCTCCCCCTCCTCCTGAAGGAATGCTTGCTTCCAGAAGAGATCCATTATTTTAAATAAAAGAAACATTTCATGCAACCTCCCACAACAGTCATTTGGCTAATGGAATGGAAAAACAACTGCAGCCGTAGGGCTTAAGGTATCCTATATCGTGAGGCACATACCAAGTGTGTTACAGGAAAGCCTATACACGATTTTTGCTTCATTTATGTCAAGATAAAATAAAGTGGCCAATCTCTGCGAAACGTGCTTTTAATTTCTTTCATTAGAAAGACAGGCATGCCTTTCATCGACAAGAGCATAGATTAATTTCCCATGATTAGCAAGGGAGGGGAGAAGCGGGAAAGAGCCCTTTCCACCATAGGTTTCTTCCAAACTTATCCAAACCCCAACAATGCCTGATTTTTTTTAAAAAAATAAATAGCTGGGGAGACACAAATCCCAATTATAATCTGCCTGTGGCTTGAAGAAGCAGCAAACGGCTTTGTTGCTGTGTTTTTCTTGGCTGGCATTGGAAAAGGCTTTGTTCACTCTGGCTAATTTCCCAACAGAGCGGCTGTTGGAGAAAAGCACAGCACATCACGGAAAACAAGGAGTACAACTGCGCTCGTACCTCTTAGGGAATGTCTGCAGAGTGGCAACTGCCTGAGCTCCTAAAAGACAGATGCTCTAGCCTTCTGTGGCATTCGCAGGCTGCATCGTGAAGCTGGCTAGGCAGGTCCCCCGCAATCACTTCTGCTGTGTGGACAGCTAGAGAAGCAGACAGCATGGAGGTGTCTGTCCTTTACACCAGGGATGGGAAGCATCTCTGGCCCTCCAGAGCTTGCTGGGCTCCCACTCCATTCAGCCCCAGCCAGCATGCTCAGTGGTCAGGGATGATGGGAGTTGCACTACAACATCTGGAGGGCCAGAGGTTCCGCAGCCCTGCTTCACACCAGCGGAGCTTGCAACCCTTTGTTCAATGGCGCTTGCAGTATCTTCATATCCCAAAGAAAGGAGGAACTTGGTGGAAACTCATTTGACAAATTTCTCAGGTCATGTTGACAATACTACATGGGATGGCTTTCATCCCATTTCACTTGCTTCATGCCGTCCCATAAAACATGGAGGAAGAACCTTAGCCATTTAACTTCCAGCAGGCCAGTGCAGCTTCTCCTCTCACTCATCCCTGGCCATGTTCACATCAACATGTTTCATGGAATCACAGATAACACTGTCCACACATGACTGACTCAACCCTGGAAAGCTTAAATTGACACCTACTCATTTCCACTACTGGACAGGCGTTTGCAAAAACAACGTGTAGAAGACAAGATTATCTCTCTCAACCTTGTAGTTATCCCCCTGCATGGAGCAAGTAACAGCTGCTTCCTGATCAATGCCTTGCTAAACCATCCATTGAAAGTGCCCTGTGTTAAACGCAGTCATGCAGTCAGGTACAGTCCTCACGCTTATTCGTTTTTATAACATTCTTCCAATGAGATCACAACATCAGTTAACCTCTGCAACAATCCTGTGAGGTAGGTGTCAGAAGCTTTTGGGCAGTACACCCAAGGCACTTGCCTTATTCAGCTCCTCAACACTATGACCTGATGAGCCACAGCTGAACATGTGGATTCATTCCACTAAAAGGCAAAACACCGTTGACATGAGGTAACTGGGTTCTGTCCTTAGCATTTGTTTTGTGACAACTCACATGAAGAAAACACCCGTTTGTGCTGCAGTCACTGAGTGGTGATGGACATGTGTTTGTGAGCCAGCTTGGCAACTTTCTCAAGGCTGTTCAGTGAGCGTCATTGCTGAGCAGGCTTTCAACCTGCATTCTCTATGCCCAAGGCCAGGATTACTCACTCTACTAGTCTACAAATCATAACATTGAAGAGATCTTTGTGGTGGATAGAACATGCTTACAGTGATAATTTATCTCCCGCTCCAACTTTCTGTGGTCCCTTCCCTTGCAATTATACAAATATATTTTTCACAGGGTTGCATGGCTTTTCACAGATTCCCACATGGAACCATGCCTGCACAGCTGCATTTTTCAATGGTTACCGCACCAGAAATGTCATGGGTCAGTGACAGAGCAGCTGCTTTGCATGCAGAAGGTCTCAGGTTCAATATCCGGTATCTCCAGGGAAGGCCAGGAGAGAATGCTGTCTGAATTCCTGGAGAGCCACTACCTGTCAGTGTATACTGACCTAAATGGACCAAGGGTCTGACTCAGTATAAGGATACTTCCTAGAATTAGTCTCTCTCTCTCTCTCTCTCTCTCTCTCTCTCTCTCTCTCTCTCTGACACACACACACACACACACACACACACTGTACATAGCTCTCGCCTCAATGCAAGGAAAATAAAAACCCAGAGTAGTTGACAGACATGCTCCGCATATATGCAGCTGTTCAAGGCTATTTCTGTATCTTTCTGACCAAAGAAATCTAGAAGAGAGTTGCTCAGAAGTTCCTTCTGACCACAGTTCTCAGGGATGTGCTCCATCCCAATCAGATGCAGAAGACTATCCTACTTCTTTTCTTTGTCATGGAGCTCTTCAGTTCATCTCCTTTGTGGACACACTCTTGACAGTTGCTTTACTTTTCCTGAATCTCTCCACGTATGTATTGCAATCTGTCAGGAAATACCTTATTTAAGCATACGACACTGGGATAAGTTAACAGCCGCTACTTGGGCCATTCCTTACATTAGTTCCATTACTATAGAAGTCTTTTATCACACTGGCTTCCTCTGCTGTTTTCTCTGCCCAACAAATGCTACCCTAGTTGGTTGCCCAGTTGCTCCAAGCAGCAACACTGGCCTCAGTGAATGGCTACATTCGCACATAATGCTAAGCCTTAACCATGGCTTGTACATGAGTCACCTTGCATACATTCAAAGAAGCCATGGTTCATTCTCCAAAGCTTGGTTCATTTTCCAGCTGCTCTTGCCTCATGCCTGCAGTTTGGCATGCATTTGGGGTGCTGTGGTCAAACAAACCAAGGTTAAGCAAGACACCTGGATTCCAATGTGCCACCAAACAATCTATGGTGTGTTAGCTAACTACAAAACACATCGCTGATTGTTCCCAGAAAACAAAAACTGTGGTTAGTCTGCTGGGCTGGGTTCAGACATTCAAACAAAGGACACTTTGGTTAAACAAACCATGGTTTAGTGTTATGTACAAACCAGGCCAATATCAAGTCACTTACCTCTAGGCAAATGACAGATCCTTGATGCTCTTTGAACACTCTGAGCTGCTCGCCAGTCACGATGTTCCAAGTCCGAATGGTGTAATCAGTGCTGCCTGAAAAAAGCTCCCTGTTTGGAGCATCAAGTATAAGACATAAGACGGCCCCAGTGTGTCCCAGCAGGGTTTGGTGGCAGCGGCCGCTGGACACCCACCAGACCTTGACAGTGCAGTCTGTGCTCCCTGTCACCAAGAAGCCTCTGCTCAATTTCTCCTCCTCCAACTCTTCCTCTTCTGAATCCTCAAGGACATCCTTGGAGGAGTAAAGAGCCAATGTCAGAACACAGTTCCGGTGGCCTCGAAACTCCTGGATTGGCTTCTCCTTATCCACACTCCAGCACCGTGCTGTCCTGTCATAGGAGCCACTGAAGAGATAATCCTTGAAAACCAGAATCCTGTTGGAGGTGGGGGGAATAAGCCACATGTCAAAAGAGTCTGAAGTTTTTCCCCAGCTCCTTCCGCCTGCCCTTATAATGTTTCTTCCAGTAGCACCTTAGAGACCAACTAATTTTGTTATTGGTATGAGCTTTCGTGTGCATGCACATGAAAGCTCATACCAATAACAAACTTAGTTGGTCTCTAAGGTGCTACTGGAAGGAATTATTTTTATTTCCCCCCCCCTGACTATGGCAGCATAGGTGTCAACTTTTCCCTTTTTTAAAGGGAAATTCCCTTATTCCGAATAGGATTCCTTGCAAGAAAAGGGAAAAGTTGACAGCTATGTACGGCAGATCAACACGGCTACCTACCTGTACTTATAATGTTTGTGCTTTAGACTGTCAGCATGTAAACCTATACATCTCTACTGAAAAGTAAGTCCCACAGAATTAAATGGGGCTTACACTCAGGTAAATAAGATTGCGATCTTAATAATCCTTGTACCTTTTTTCTCAGTTTTATTAGCTGAACTGCTGTATGCAGAACTAAACATAGTGCCCCACATGAATATATTTTTATTCCCCAATTTGCATACTGCTTAATCACAGTCGTCTCTAAGGGGTGTACAGAAGATCCAGTAGAATAAAACTAAAAATGAGTTAAAACAATACAGTAATGTCATAATACAGTTGTGAAGCCTGCTGGAATAAAAATACTGTGCTAGTTCCTTGAATTCCCAGCTACTTTTCCAGAAACTTATTTATATCTAGATTAACTGAAATGGGGTCAGATTAAATTCAGGGGCAGCTGAATTCTCAACCTTATCCACTAATAGCCTGGTTGCATGCCAGCCATAGTTTCCTAGATGGTGGCTGTTTCTAAACAAATTGTGGTGCAGCCCTGTACTGTAAGTGCTTGGCCACGTGGACAGGTGAACTTTATCACGGCCCTAGATTTCCCCAAGTGCAATAAAACTGAACACTGCAGATGACCATACCTAAAGATGGCATAGTAGCCCTAAGGGTGGTCCTCTGTATTCCAGCCTAGGTTGCCAATTTATCTAGAAATTCCATTTGCAAAAAGGAGAAGTACATTTGGCAGCTGACACACACACAAAAGGATCCCGTTCTTGCTTGCACACAGAATGCACGTTTAGCATAACAAATCAACGTCTGGCTTTAAGCTTCTCTGGGGGGTAATTAACAGCAGGGCAAAATTCCAAATCTTTAAACAAAGCTTTAGCTGTATCCCTCCTTCCTTTCTTTTTTACTACTAAGAAGTATGCTTAACACAATGCTTTTTAATCTCTTTATCAGGTGCAGCTGTTGCCAATTTCATTCCCAGCAGAGGATTCGGTTCAGTTCCTCCTTGTTCTTCTGTCCGTCTCTCTTGCCCAGGCTGTGGCTGCGTCAGCATTCTTGCTGGAATAACTAATCGCATACGGCCAAGAGCATGTGTAGCAGAAATTTAGGCAATCCATTTGTGCAATACAGCATAGGGAGGAAATGACTAGTTTTGAACAGAATCAGAAGTAAGGATGGGGGACCTGAGGAGGTTAGCTGAGGAGCTAACTAGCATCAGATTACAGGTTGTGACAAGCAGAGAATGCAGAGTGAGGGGAGAAATCTTTGTTGTTGTTGTTTAGTCGTTTAGTCGTGTCCAACTCTTTGTGACCCCATGGACCAGAGCACGCCAGGCACTTCTGTCTTCCACTGCCTCCTGCAGTTTAGTCAAATTCATGCTGGTAGCTTCGAAAACACTATCCAACCATCTTGTCCTCTGTCGTCCCCTTCTCCTTGTGCCCTCCATCTTTCCCAACATCAGGGTCTTTTCCAGGGAGTCTTCTCTTCTCATGAGGTGGCCAAAGTATTGGAGCCTCAGCTTCAGGATCTGTCCTTCCAGTGAGCACTCAGGGCTGATTTCCTTAAGAATGGATAGGTTTGATCTTCTTGCAGTCCGTGGGACTCTCAAGAGTCTCCTCCAGCGCCATAATTCAAAAGCATAAATTCTTCGGCGATCAGCCTTCTTTATGGTCCAGCTCTCACTTCCGTACATCACTACTAGGAAAACCATAGCTTTAACTATACGGACCTTTGTTGGCAAGGTGAGAAATCTAGGTAGCTCTAAATAAAAGACTCCGTAGTACCTACCTGTTGACAATCGATGTGTGCCCTCGGTAAACCGCCAGGCACTGGCCTGTCATCACGTCCCACTTTCGAATTGTGTGATCCGCACTACATGTAAAAGCAGCTTCATTTTCTAAGTGGCAAAATGTGATGTAGCTTTCATGTCCTGGAGGGAAAATATACAGAATGAAAAACGATCAGTGCAAATTTACCGAAAACTATAAAAGGAGATTTTTGTAACAGGAACTTGTGGCTGTCCAGATGTTGTTGGATTTCGGCTCCCATCAACCCTAGGGCAGCATGGCCAGTGACCAGGGATGATTGCAGTTTGTCCTGCAATCTCTGGAGGACCACAGGCTTCCCTGCCCTGGTGTTGTAACAGGAAGGTTTGCATCACATTCTTAAATTGATTACTGTGGCAGATCTGAAAGAACCTTTGTACTGGTCTTATGCTAGTCTGTCAGAACTTCCCTCAAAGGATTCCTGGGAGGTGTGATTGTTAGTGCCTGGAATTCTCTACAGATCTGCAACCACTTGAAGAACTACAATACTCTGGATTGCCAGGAAAGGGAGAGATGTCTGCGAAACCTGTTCTGAATCTGTGATATAAATATGTCCTTGTGCAGGGTCCCCCCCCCCCCAGGACAATTGCTCTCCTTTTAAAAGATGCTTTCTACTATCTCATACAAACCACAGCTCTATGCCTCAAAATTCACACTCCAGTTGTATAAAATAAATAATAAATGTTGGAAATGTAAGGAAAAAGAAGGTACTTTTTACCATATGTGGTGGGAATGTAAGAAAGTGAAGGACTTCTGGGAAATTATTTATAATGAGATTTTTAAAATGCTGAAATATACATTTGTAAAAAACAACAACCCCAGAAGCCCTTTTACTTGGTATTGAAGGTACAGAGATTCATAAGCATGATAAAAAATTGTTTTTATACGTGACAACTGCAGCAAAAATACTATTAGCCCAACAATGGAAGCAGGAAGAACTACCAACAAAAGAAGAGTGGCAGATGAAATTGATGGATTATTCCGAGTTGGCGAAATTAACTGGGAAAATTCAGAACCAGCAAGACCAGACTTTCCTGAAGGACTGGAAGAAATTCACGATATATTTGAAAGACGATTGTAATCAATTGACATCACTGTAGAGCTACAAGAAGTTTGTAAGGAGAACTATATGAATTATTGCGAAAGAGGACTAAGAAGGAGTTTATTTAGGATTTGGATTTTATAGCAATAACTATAATAATAAAGAGTGACGCGGGTGGCGCTGTGGGTTAAACCACAGAGCCTAGGACTTGCCAATCGGAAGGTCGGTGGTTCGAATCCCTGCGACAGGGTGAGCTCCCGTTGCTTGGTCCCTGCTCCTGCCAACCTAGCAGTTCGAAAGCACGTCAAAGTGCAAGTAGATAAATAGGTACCGCTCCGGCGGGAAGGTAAACGGCATTTCTGTGCGCTGCTCTGGTTCACCAGAAGCGGCTTAGTCATGCTGGCCACATGACCCGGAAGCTGTACGCCAGCTCCCTCAGCCAATAAAGCAAGATGAGCACCGCAACCTCAGAGTCGATCACGACTGGACCTAATGGTCAGGAGTCCCTTTACCTTTACCTATAATAATAAAATGCAAAATTAGAAAGGAAGTTAGAAAACCATCAGTCGAGGTTGATGGAAGTCCTAGGCAGTGATAGCCAAAGGTCTGTTATGTTGTTTAAGATGGGATGTTATGTTTGGAAAACGTGTGTAAAAACCAATAAAAAATATATTAAAAAAACAAAAACAAAATTCACACCCCTGCAATCCAGTGGTGCTGTTAGGTAATTTTTAAACTCTGGACTCAATGGTTATGTGGTCTGGGGTCCCTGCCTCCCTGCTCATTTTCCTGAGTGCAGAGCCCTAGATGGGCTGGCCTGATGTCTTGCTCTGTTAGCACTGACCGCCATTGTCCTGTGTTTTTCACATAGAGAACAATGGGACCTGCTCCCAAGTAAGTTGCACATAAGGATTTCAGCAAGAGAATGGGTAGGAATTAAACCTCCTCCTATTCACATTCTCCACATGCGTGGGAAGGATGCAATCTATATGAAAGATGACTAACAATTTACGTATACTTTGGAAATTCAAGCTTCTTCTGACTCAATGTTTTTACTGTTTCAAATATAGTTCTTCTTTTTTTTAAGTCCACCAAGTTCCTTGTTTAATAGGCACTTCCTTATACCTACATGGTCAGCTTCCATGTTCTTTAATCATTTTGAGGTCAATCTATGGAAATTGTATAAAAAGTGGCATTTCTCATTCTGAAGATGAAAACAAACTTAAGAGCAGACAATCAAGTTGTTTACATGAGTCCTTAGAGATTATTCAGTTGCAAAAGAAACAAACAAAAACTAACTAAGTGAATACCTAGAATTGGCTAAATTTACAGACTCAATAAGAAATCATTCAAAGAAGAGAGTGGGATGTTTTTTATAAAATATATGAAAAATGGAGGTTCCCAGACCATCACTTGGCTTAGCGTAGATTAAAACCCCACTGGCAACCAGAATGTTTCTCCACAGACTTGCCAACTGAATACAGATATTTAGAAAAAGGAATTATCAAGTAACGTTCACGGGTAGTGGGAAGTCATGTTAGGAATCAAGGAGTCAAGCCAGAAGTTGCAAAAAGACGGTTTGCACTCTCTACAAAGAATTGTATTTGAAAATGCTTGGTTTTGAGGCTTTTTTTCATTTCTTTTTCTTTTTTCTTTTTCATTGCTGATATGCTTTTTCTTTTTTCTTCTTTTAATATTCTGATTATTTGATGTGTATATGTATGTATATGTAAAATCAAAATAAAATTAAAATATTTTTTTTAAAAATAAATGCTTTTAAATAAATAAATTTAAAAGGGAAAAACAAAAAAACCTGCATCGAAACTCCCAAAAACAACTCCAGGAAGAAATTTGTTTAAAGACTTTCTAAGCCAGAGGTTTTCAACCTTTTTGAGTCCACAGCTCCTTTGACCAACTACTGTGGTACCTTGGGTTAAGAACTTAATTCGTTCCGGAGGTCCGTTCTTAACCTGAAACTGTTCTTAACCTGAGGTACCACTTTAGCTAATGGGGCCTCCTGCTGCTGCCGCACAATTTCTGTTCTCATCCTGAAGCAAAGTTCTTAACCTGAGGTACTATTTCTGGGTTAGCAGAGTCTGTAACCTGAAGCGTCTGTAACCTGAAGCATCTGTAACCCGAGGTACCACTGCACATTCTTTCTGCAGCACCTCTCTGGAACCTAGTTATGTTACCCCTGCAGAGCTGGCAGCCCCTCACCCCTTTTTGAGCACCCTCCCTTGTGGAGTGTTCCCTCAGCCTCCTTTCCTCTCCCCTCTCCTTGGGAGTCCTCCAGGCAGCCACTTTTGCTGTCCCTAGTCTCTGAGCTGCACCCCCCCCCCGCCCCAAAGAGAGGTGCCTCCTCACACTGCCCCACTGGCAGAGACGGTTCCGCCCCCCGCCCCATTCATCCCGAGTTGCCCATATTGTATATTTGTGGTGGGTTTTAATTTATGCAAGCCGTTTGGGAAGCCCAATGTCTTGGGTAGCATACAGACGATAAAATAAAATGGCTTCTCCAGAGTCGGTCTTGAATGAAAAGGTTGGGTGGCAGTCTGTCATTTTGCATGATCTAGTGGATTCCTGCATCACAGGGGTTGAACTACAGGACCTTCCAACTCTATGATTCTATGAAATTGCCTCACAACAAATTATATGTGTGTGTTGAATGTGTGAGTCTTAAATATATCATCATTCTGCCTTCTCCCATGAAGAAAAAGGTTTCCGGTCCTCATTTGAAGGCATCCTCCAAGGATTCCAGCATGGAAGGATCTCAGCCGTCTGACTAAGCAGACAGACACACTGCAGCTTGCCAGGTCTGTTATGGGCTACCACAACCACATAGACATTAATATCACTTAACCAGAATTTGGGAGGGGCTGTGTGATGGACAGACCATTGGGGTCATCCTCCAGAAGACCCTCAGCCAATCATGGCAGGGAAGAGAAACGGCTAATCAGGAGAGAGAGTGAGGATAGTAGAGAGAGAATTTGACAGTTTAAATGCCAAATGGAGTCTGGCTAGGGAAGTTGCTTAGGGGTTTGTCAGGCAGGGTAAACCTGTTTAATTTTGTCCTGTGAAAGAAACGGACCCAGAAAGGGTCTTTTACAGAAAGAGTTAGCCATTCTAGGAGGAAAGAGATGTATTAGAAATAGCTCTGTTGTGGGGAATTATAAGTAAAGTTATTGCTCAAACCTGAAACAGCATTTCTGATGGAAAAAATACTGTCCCTTTAACCGTAAAACTGCTTTATCCTTCATTAAGCACTTGTTAGTAAAAATACAGTTTCCACTTCCATCGTGCCTCAGCTTTAATTTATACCTAGTTTGGAAAATAAGTTGTCACAGGAACACCAATATTAAAAATCTTTGCTGCTGATTTATTTTGTACAAGTGCCCTGCCACAGATAGAGAATCCCTGAATTCTCTTTTTTATATATATTAATTTTATTAGTTTTCCAAATTTTAACAAATCAATCCAAATTATTTAAATTTAATACAATTTTTTAAAAGTAATTAGGTTTCCCGCTCCTGTTACAAACATATGTCCATTGCTTCCTGATGTTGCTGCTTCATTCTTCTTTATACACCTTCTCATCTATTGATTTTAATCCATTTACATAGCTAGCCTTTTATTTTTCCTTGCAATCAGCAAGAATCCCTGAATTCTCAGCTGTCATAGACAGGGATTGACCAAGGTTAAATCACCTCAGATGCGGTCATTTTGCCCCGCTCCCATCTTCACTGAGGGAGTTTGCCACAGGGTGCACCCCAGAATCAGAGGCTAAGGGAAGGTTTACCCTACCTTGAAAATGGGCCCTGCACTGGCTGTCCGCAGTGCTCCAGAGCCGTGCAGTGCCATCTTCACTACCTGTCAGGAGCCACTGGCCGTCTGGGCTGAGGCTCAGCCAGTTGATGCCTCCCTGGTGATCAGTGCAAACTTTCAGTGCTGAACTACTGCTCCCCATCTTGCAAGTTCCACAACAAGGCAGGAGCCGGGGTGGAGAGTCTCATAGGGTCCGAGCCAAACAAGGATCAGGAGTAGGCCTTAAAACAGCAGGCTGCATCAAGCCAACTCCAAGGATCATCTTTGGTGCAAAAACAAACAGCAAGGGGATGTTGCTGTCTCTACGAAAAGTGAAAAAAATGTATTAATAAAGATAAGAACAACAACAACACAATAACAAATGATACTAGATGGCTCAGGCACACAGCCATTATAGCCAGAAGCTTGACCATTAAGCTGGCGAACCCCTGCGCCTCTCCCATGAGTAAACCCATTATATTAAACATTTCATTGTTTATTGTAACATGAGAATAACCCTGGAAAATAAACCCTGAAAAAATATCTGGCAACTTCGCCTGGTTAAAAACATGGCCAGACTTTTGACTAAAGGCCACTGGAGTGACCCTGTTTTTCCACATGTAAGCTTTCAGCTGAAACAGAATAGAACACTACATTTCTATGATTCTACTACAGTTATTCCCAAATTGTATGCCAGAGCATTCTGGTACGACTCGGATGAACTACTTACTGCGCCTAAAGGAGGCTTGTCTGAGGCTCTGGGTGTGCCTTCTTTGAGAACAGGTAATTCTGCTGATCAGGTGTGATTGAATGATCCAATCATGCAATCATATCAGATGCAGACAAACAACATAATTGCTTCCCCTTCCCTGCTGTCTGTGATTTTCACTGCTCTGGGCATGTCTCTTCTCAGATGCAAAAGGAGAGGAGACTTTGCTACCAGTGTTCCTTAGCAATCTGGAGTCTGGGAAGCTGCCCTGCCAAGTTTAGGCAAACTTATATTGAATGATGCACCTACATCACATGCCAGACCTTGGAGAATGGAGGGCTATAGTTATGGCTAAGAGTTCAAGCAACAAACTCTGTAGTTTATTCCCTATGTTTTTCCTCCCTCACCGCAAATAGTGGTTGCTACTCACAAGTGTCCAAAAGCTAAAGGGAAGACAAATTATTTTGACGCTAGCTGCTGTCATTTTAATAAAAGCCACGGCTGTTGTGCCAAAGGTTGTGCCAAAGAAAATCAAATTCTGTGACCAGAATAGACATTGCAAATATTATGCATATCCTTAGTTTGCATACACTTATCCTGCTTCAAAAATCCAGGTTTTCAAAATGCTTGGAATTCTTTGGCAAAGGTTAAAGGATACTGAGAATATGTGGGCTGAGCGGGGGGCACAGAGCTGCCTCAGATTAGTAAATTCCTTTGTGGAAACACACATACAAAACCATTTCTGCAATAAATCTGTGGGAGGGCAGCAGGGGTGGCAGTTATTTATCCCAGCAAGTGCCCCCCCAACGCCTTGATCCCAGGAGAAAATAGTCTCTAGATACCATGGGGTTTGTCTTTAATCTGCACAAGGCTGCCTTGGCTAATATCTCCAAGCCAAAGGGAAGCCTGTCATAGCAAACTCTGCCTACACAAATTGTGTAAGCCAAACACAGCCCACCAGCAAAATCTATCACAGCCCATCAAGAACTCAATACACTTCCTAGTTTTCTTCCTGCCTGGGACTGGCAAAGATAAAACAGTAAATTGTGAAGCACCTGGCAGCCCTATTCCAGCAGCCAGAAGAAGTGGCAAAAGGAAAGCATACAGATAAGGCTCCATCCATCTTTCCATTCCATCATATGGCAGTAATGGGAGGGGCTGTAGCATGCAGAAGGTCCCTGGTTCAATGCTCAGCATCTCCAGATAAGGACAGGAGAGACTCATGTCTGAAACCCTAGAGAGCTGCTGCCAGTCAGTGCAGACAATACTGATCAAGATAGGCCAATGGTCTGGCTCCGTATAAGGCAGCTTCCTGGGCCCTGTGCTCCTGACCACAGGGAACTGCTCCTATTATCTTAAATGCAGCCTGATTCAATATCAAAACTGGCCACAGGGTGAAGCTTGGCACATTCCTCCTCAAGCCACATTTATTTACTTTCTTACAGTATTTATATGCTGTCTTTCATTTAAAAATAACCCACAATGCAATTTACAGTAAAGAAGTAAAGAAGGAGAGGCTAACATGTGGCCCTCCGAACGCTGGTGGACTCCCAACACTCAAGGCCAATGGCCAGGGATAATGAGAGTTGTAGTCAAACATTGTCCGGAGGGACAGAGTTTAGCCGCTCCTGCTGTAAATTATATTTGAAGCCTTGATTCTTGCACCCACTGTAGGAACAGAGACGTAATATACGTGCAGCTATGAGGAGGGTTTTCTTAGTGGTGCAGCAATAATTGCACAGTCCCTTCCAGCTATACAATTCTATGATTCTATGTGCAACATCAACACTGCCTTTCAGCCTGCCTCGTGTGCTATTTATGTGTTGGTTAGAGCATGGTGCTGATAACGTCAAGGTCGCAGGTTTGATCCCTGTATGGGGCAACTGCATATTCTTGCATTGCAGACGGTTGGAGCAGGATGATTCTCAGGGTCCCATCATCCCTGATAGACCACACTAGCTATGGATAATGGACGCCAACATCTGCAGGCCCACAAGTGCCCCGATCCCTGCCCTACATAAAGGCCTTTAATTTTTAAAATCAAAATTATTTCAAAATTGAGCCCACACCCAAGGTGGTGCAGATATTTTATATTCCATCTCACGTATCCCCTAAACCTCAATTTAATGCCACAATCCTATACATGTTTTCTCAATAGGCAAACCCATTAAACTCAGTGGGGCTTATTCCTAACTCTTAAAGAGTACAGGATTGTAGCCTAAGCCTCAGGTGTGAAAGCGCCTTTCTAGTTTCCAAGTCCACACTCACAGGGAAAGGGGTTGGCCAGGGGAGAAGCAACCAGAAAAAGGTCTTCCTTGTGGAATCGCTTCCCCCTTTGACCGCAGGATATTAACCTTCCTAAATGGGGGCGGGAGGGCGGGGAGAGAAATGGACCCCTTCGAGGGCGGGAAAACTCCGGGAGCAGCCAAGACCCCTTTCGCCTGCCTCGCCCAGGAAGGGAGACAGCCAACTCCTCCCCATAACCATGTCTGCGCTGCTTCCCTCACGCCACCGCCTCCCCGCCCCCCATGTCTGGGTGGGCTGAGGCTTCCCTCGCCTCCTCTAAAAAGACACCCCCCCGGACTTCCCTCACGGCCCCTCTTTAAACAAAAAGAGAAGCCTCAGGGCTCTGTCTGCAACCCTCGCCTACAGGATCCTGCCCGCTCCCCTCCCCCTCTGAAGAAAAAAGGGGGGCGCACACACACACAACTAGCAACGCCCCCGACCCAAATCCGCAGCGCCCACCCCCCACGACTCTCCTGTTTCCTTTGCGCGCGCACCGCAGATATGCCTGCCGTCCTCCGCTCCGCTTTGTTTCCTGTCCCCCCTCACGCAGCCCCCCTCCTCACAGCATTCTCGCTTTCTCAAAAGTTTCCCTCAGGACCCCCCAAGGCTCCTCTATAACTCCCAACTGTTTCCCTCGCCACCGCCACACACACGGATTTATGTATTTCTTTTTCCTATCCTGAGGACAGAAAGAAGAAAAGAAACCCCCTCCTCGTGTAAAAAAAAAAAAGTCAGCACATCGCTCTCCTCTCCGGGGTCACACAACTCCCCACGACTCGACGGCGTTTGGGTTTTTTATCGGGCTGCCGCTTTCCTCAGCGAACCTCTCCTTCCCGCCCCCCTTGGGTGCCACACGTTGGGTGCCTTCCCAAGACCCCTTCAGTGGGGAGTGGGTGCTTTTTTTGTAGGAATGAGGAGGGGTTTCTGAGGCAGATTGGTGAGGCTGGTCGTAATATCATGAGGGAGCAAAATACAACGGTGCGAATTAGCCCCACACGGTGACCCCCATGACCCGAGCTGCGCCTGCCTTCTTCCCTCAGAAAGAGCCCCCACAGCAATCCATGTGAAATGTCCCCAGAGAGAAGCACCCATCCCAACTGTGCAAGTTTCCCACCCGCAGGGAGTCACATCTCTCTTGCGCCTCTGTCCATTTCTCCCCAAAGCTACATCATAATTCATTTTCTAAACAATAAGGCAAATCAAGTCTGCACATCCCCAGCTCTCCCACACGGCACCATTCCCATGTTTCCGCCTAGCAATCTCGCAGATTTTCAAAAAAATAATAATTATTATTACATGTAGACACAGCACACAAGAGTTGCTCGCTTACTTCAGTTCAAATCCCCATCCCAAGGGGAAATCCTCTTGCTCATGATCTCTGGTGTTGTTGGAGAGAAGCCAAATCAGCAAACACGCACACCCCCTTTCGCCTTCAGAGAAGCTTCATCCAAAAATGTTATCTTTTTACGCACAAACTACGGCCAGGCGAACAAGCAAAAAAACAAAATTAAAATCAGAAAGTGCAGGGATCCGCGCTGTAGGATCAGGCTTCTTCACATTGTTCCAGGGGGGTGGAAGGAAAAATCCTAGAGGACACAAACTCCAGAGAGCAAACCAATCTAGTAACCGCAAAACTCATTTCCAGGCAGATCTCATTTCCTTCCATGATAAGGGGAAAGAAAAAGAAAAGGGGGGAAAAAGAAAAAGAAAAAGAAAGAAAGAAAGAAAGAAAGAAAGAAAGAAAGAAAGAAAGAAAGAAAGAAAGAAAGAAAGAAAGAAAAGGGGGTGACAGATTGCTGGGTTAATGGAGCCAAATAGTTTTGCCTGGACTCTCAGGCAGTTCCTAAATCCTAACTTTCTCCAGTGGCTTTTTGCATTGTAATAAGAAGGTGCCTATGCAGATCCTGAGTCCGAGTTTAGCATAATTCATTGGGGCGGCTGTTGCAGCACTGCAGAGAGAAAAAACGGTTTTTAAAAGTCTTCCTGTTTAGAGAGGCTAGCTGCCTTTTGTCTCCTGTTCTTACCCCCTTCAGTTGTGTGTGAAGAAGGCTCATCTGAACTGCTTGCCAAGATCCCTGCAGGACTCCGAAACCTCTCTCTCTTTCTCTCTCCTTTTACCCAGTTCTCCCCCAAAACTTTTTCACTGTTTCTTAGATTAATACAGTTGTGCAGAGCATAACTTGTCCGTCTTTTCACGCTCTGCGGGGGATCAAATACCACCCCTCAGATTTCTACAAGGTCCTAAAGAAAGCTGAATTAAATAGCAGAAACTACTAGGATCTGTAGCAGAAAGAGTGCTGCAAGACTCTTCGCTGTTTTTACTAGGATTTAAACAACAGATTCTTGGAAATGCATAATGCCTTGCGGTATATAAGTGATATGGAAAGTTTTGTATCTCAAGGTGCTAAAGGAACACACACAATATGGAATTCCTAGGAAGGCAAGATGTGAGGGCAATGGGGAGTGTGAGGACGAGCAAAAGAAGCTTTGGCTGGATCAGAATTTGGGCTTTATCAGATGTGTCAGTCTAGCTCAGTGTTGCCAATCAGAGGATTGGCAGCCACTCTGCAGGGTTGCACTGCACTGCAGTTTTCTTGGGGGTGTATGGGGTGTTAGGGGAGAGGTAGTACCTCTGGTGGGGGACATGTCGTGCTCCTTCTGGGGTAGACTGTTCACCTTTGGTCCCCGCCCTGCACTCAGCTCTCACCTGTGGCTCCTAGAAGCTGTTAGCATGCGGCAGTGCCCGAACTCCAGGAATGGCTTTGACTGGCTGGCTAAACCAGGTGAAGGGAGCCAATGGGTCTCAAACGCTCAGTGAGTTAGGGACTTCCTCTACATGTGAAGATAGGCTCAGGCGGATTGACCGAATGAGACCAGTGGTGGGTCCATTGGTCAATAAGGTGCTTTCTGCATGAGCTGTAGAGGGAAGTGAGGGGCAGATGGGGCCCATCTGGGGGAAGGAAGACTCTGATCCTAAACCTCCGCTGCTTTGTGGGATATCTTCAGAAGAAAAGGCTAAGGAGTAAACCCTACACAAATCCGGAATGGAGTCCCTAAGAAGGTTGGGTGGCACCTTGAACGCTTCCTTCCGGCAATTCCTGCAGCCAAGCTGGTGCCAAACATATTGCTCTGCTTTCCTTTGGACCACATCAGACAGGCCAAGAGGGGTTTTTTTGTTATCTGGGCAGCCCAGGAGGTCCATACACACTGTCCAGACTTGTACCCCCCGGGAGGTCACTTGGGTGCTGCTAATGCAGCGGTTTGACTTCACCCCTGGAGACATACTGTGTTGTCCATCAAGAGAGATGGATGCCAATAACTCAGTTTTCTCAGTCTTATCTGATGGTTCTGGGAATTAAACCTAGGAGAGCTACTTGCATACAAAGTGATTTTTCATACAGAGAAAAAGTAAGAGGTGACATACACAGAGGTGTATAAAATTATGCATGGTGCAGAGAAAGTGTATAATGAAATGGGTTTATCCCTCTCTCATAACATCCAAACTCAGGAACATCCAAAGAAGCTGAATTTTAGAAGATTCAGGACAGTCAAAAGAAAGTACAGTGGTACCTCGGGTTACAAACACCTTGGGTTACAAACACTTCGGGTTACAGACTCCAGTAACCCAGAAGTAGTACCTCGGGTTAAGAACTTTGCCCCAGGATGAGAACAGAAATCATGTACCGGCGGTGCGGCGGCGGCAGCAGGAGGCCCCATTAGCTAAAGTAGTGCTTCAGGTTAAGAACGGTTTCAGGTTAAGAACGGACCTCCGGAACGAATTAAGTTCGTAACCAGTAGTACCACTGTAGTTACCGGTAATTCATCCACTGCATAGTTAAAGAGGCAGTGATGGCCACTGACTTTAAGGACTTTAAAAGAGGATTAGTCTAGATCAGGGGTAGGCAACCTAAGGCCCATGGGCCACAAGCGGCCCACAGGAGTCGTTTAACCAGCCCACAAGCCACTCCCAAACTGAGCTGCTCGCTTGGCAAATCCCTGTGCACTACACTAAACCAGCACAGCACGGCGTGGGGACTTGTTTCTGTGGCGCCAAAAACCGCGTCTGCACAGACGCAGATGCCGGAAATCACGTGCGCTCACGCACACGCGCAATCTGGCCCACGGAGGGATATCCACTGGAGTGAACCGGCCCAGGCGAGGTAAACCTTGTTGACCCCTGGTCTCGATGGAGGAGAAGGCTGCTAACCCTGATGGCTGCGTTCAGCTTCTCTGCTGGAGCCGGTATACCTCTGAATACGTTGCTGGGAATCTCAGCGGAGAGACCGTTGTTGCACTTTGGTCCCTCTTGTGTGTTTCCCATAGGCATCCAGTTGGCCATTGAGAGAACAGGAGGCTGGGCTAGATGGACCATGGGCCTGATCCTGCAGGGCAATTCTTACACCAGCCACCCCCAACCTTTGGCCCTCCAGATGTTTTGGCCTACAACTCCCATGATCCCTAGCTAACAGGACCAGTGGTCAGGGATGATGGGAACTGTAGTCCAAAACATCTGGAGGGCCAAAGGTTGAGGATGCCTGTCTTATGTTCTTATGTCTGTCATGTTATTGCAGGGGAAGCCCAATTCACAGACGCAAATCGTCACTTGATGTTGCAAGAATCAAGTGAGGAAATCTACGTGTGAATCGACCCACACATTCCACACTAGGCTGGTTAATGGGGCAAGTGGGCTGCTCTGAGCAGAGCCTGCTGAAGAATCTACCAGTAGCCTCTTCTTCCTGCTTTATTTTGCAGGAGCCACTGAGAGGCTGGAGGGCCAGGACGACAAGGCAGCCAAATTAGTCCCAGCTGTGCCTCATTCCAGGTCAGGAAGTCAGGAACAAATATCCAAGCAGCAAGTCTGAATAACCGTGTCATGCAGTGGCTCATAGGTCCATGCCATAAATCAGCCCTAAATAAAATGTGTGCCTTAGTGCAGTCAGCTGTGCATTAATCTGTAGCACCAATCTGATATAGCTGGCTGTCTACCCTAATTACTCACTTTAAAGGCTGGGCTTTAAAGGCTGGATATTGCTATTTCAGCCATCGATATAATAAAACGGGTTTGCTCCCATTTCACCAAATAGTAGGAAGTTTCAGGGGCAGCTCTGTAAAGGATCGGTTTCCTTGTGAGAGGACAGTCTCGATTATCTTTTTATGTAATGTTATATTTACAAAAATAGGAAATGAACACGAAGAAGCAGGCAACAGCCAAGGCCAATACTGCTGGGTTTTAACCCATGTTGGTTTCCCCCAAATCAAGTACTGTAACATGTCATTTGAAACCCTCCCACGCCTACAAGGCTCTTTAGCATTTAACTGGGGGGGACGGGGACAAAATGTGATTTCTACCTCCTTCACTAGCTTCTCTCCAACTGTTTCTGTCAAATTTCCACCAAAACAACTAGAGTGTGTTCAGTAGCAGGCTGCCACCAGCCATCAAAAGCCATCAGTGCTAATTTAAGGAAGCACCTTTCAGCCAACAGCGCTCACTGAAGAAAGATCTTTTAGCTATTGAATTACAAGAGTCTAGAGAAATTTTTATCCTCTCACTTGACAGCTATAACAACAGTATTAAGAGTAGTTCCCTTGCATCTGAAGTTTTGACTGAACAAACATTACCTCTGGCTAATCTGGATTCTTTTTCATTTGGTGAATAAGCATTTAGACTCCCACGGCAAGCTTCAATTGCAGCTGGAACAAAATAAAAGAGGTAAAAAAAAATGGCATTTGATCCTGCCTTGTTTTGCTTTCAAGAGGCAAAAGGTTTTGGACAAAACCACTATTTATGTTTACAAACAAAATAAACAACCTTATTAAGTTTTAAATGGAGAGAGGATAAAACTACTTCTGATTCCTGTTTTGTGGGGCCAAATCCAAGATGATTAGGAGTGCTATGGTCTTCTGCAGACAATAAAGGATCTTTTGTTCTTTCTAGGAAGTGGAGCCAGCAATCTTTTAAAAGCCTAAGCAGTCAGTCTCAAGCCCCTTCTTAAGCTGATCATAAACAATGAAGTGCCCAGCCATTCGAATTAACTTTCCTAGAGGATTAGCCCCCTGCACAGTGCAAGTCTATCCCATGTGATAAAAGCAAGAGGAGGTCAGTATCCAGAAGCAGAGTCTCCAAGTTGCTCAGACTAGTGAGGAATCCTGACTGGGAAGCCTTCACAGAGTATCCTCTCACCTGCTCTGGTCTCCTGCTGTTAAGAAGTTTTGTTACACATGAACGTCTGAACCCTCGTGCACGTCTACCCTGCCTAAGGACCCAGCAGAGACACCCACCTGGGAAATGAGACCTGTTGCTTGGAAACAGAATGGGCATTGTTTAAATGCGTGTGGTAAAATGGTAAAACCAGCACTTTGAATTGGGCCCGGAAACTATTGGCAGCCAGTGCAGTTGGTCCAGGATCAGTGTAAGATGTTCTGTGTTGGCTGCTGAGGAAGAAAGAGCCCTTTCTCTATGACCAGCATGGACATGCAGAAGGCTAGCAGAGAAGGGATGGGTGGGTGATTCTTTCTCTCCTCAACCAGTCCACTTGGTAGAAGCAGTGGTATAGCATTGGTTGCTGGCATCCAGGGCGGGTGGGTATGTGTCCGTCAGAGGATGTCAGCCCAGCTAATGCTGCCAGAGTTATCCCACCCCCACTGGAGCAAAGCGGATCTGCAATGAGCTGCCTGGCTGGCCAATGTGGCCCTTAGCAGGTGGAGAGGAGCACTAGGCTAGGCCATGCTGGGGGCACCTGCGTGGGGGCGCCTGCTTCGCACCCGCTTGAAAATTGTGCGCCTGGAGCCACAAGCTCCTGGCACCCCACACGCTATGTCCCTGGGTAGAAATGTTTTTCCTAGCCAGTCGAGAGGTTATAAATACCTGCATTTCTATGCAGGCTTCAGATGACAACCAACATGGAAATTCAAGCTTCTAGCCTCATGGCACACACACACACACACACACACACACACACACACACACACACTTGCAGGCTTCTAGCTTTTGTGGACTTACTTGATCAATGCATTGAATGTGTTTGAAAACCCATTATGGACTCCTGGACACCACCGTTCCTCTTCTATTTTTGTACTTATTGCAAAAACGGAAAGTTGTCTCAATACACAAATCTTCCTCACTGGATTTTGGATAATACGTTTGGTACCTCTAATTATAAAGCACCCTTTTCAGCGGTGCACATACATGGCTGCTGGTACAGCTGTTTTAGGAAAGGGTTACCGCCAGCAGCCAGTTCCAGTCAAGCCAGCCATTTCCCAGGGATATTGTTGCGTTGTTGGAATTTGAAAAACAACACACACTCGTTCTAATAATCTAACCTGTTCCCTACTTTGGTGGAAGCTGTTGCTTCATTTGCAGTGAACTGGCCTCTTGCCCAGCCTTGTCTATCTCTAACAATACATTCCTGAGGGGCTAAATCTAAGCACAAGCCAAAGGATATAAGTGTAAAAGTATATAAACAGGTCTTGGTCAACATCGCTTTTGTTTACACCAGAGATAAATGAGGAAATGGGACCCAATTTGTGAAACTGAAAACAAAATGAAGGAGCAAATAAATGAAATGAAACAGCCAGTGGCTGTTTCACATTTCAAAAAGCAACCCTCCTTTTTAGTTTGCAAGATTTGTTTGCAAACTAGCAACTGAAATGGAATGAAGATTGTTGTCATTATTTTTTCAAAGTAGGAAGAGTCTTATAAATAACTCCAGTTTTTTGTTGTTGTTGAAAAAACCATATAGGCTGAAAAAGAAAGGTGACTGATAAATTGGAAGATGAAGGTGAGCAAATATAATTTCATATACTTAGAACTTGGTTGCAGCTTAGTTGCACGCTGAGTGGTGACCAGGTCCAGGGGTACAGCACTTGCCCAAGCTTGGATGAGACAATCCACCTGTCTCATCCAAGGTAGGTCTGGAGGGTGGAGCCACATTTTCCCTACATACTGGAACAAGACATCCTATTTAATCCAACAGTGTTGCAGAATCAAAATATACATAAACTCAATGCTGGAGACCATTGTAGGAATAACAATTCCCATACAGTAGTGGACAGGATGTTTCAGTAGTGGCCACCATTTGTGGAATGGCACCATCATGGTCCGTTTTTAGGTGCCAGGCTAATACTTTTTATTGACCCAGGATTTTGGCGGTTAAGTTAGCTGCTTCTGTGGGGTAGGGCTTGAACTTATGGCATTGTTGGATGAGCATTTTAAGGAATTTTGTATTGCACATTTATTTGTAATTTGGCATTTAATTAATTTTACCTGCTTGCATTTTACCTTGTTAAGATCCTTTGATTGAGGGAGGGTGGGTGGGTGTCTGACAAACACAGTTGATAATAACACTTGCAACCCACTTCAGAAGGCTGCTTGGAAGGATGAAGAAGAAAAAGTGAAATGTTTTGCTGAAGTGAGAAATAATCGTTCCCTTCTCCTGCGCGAAAGACTGCAGTTAGCTGATTCATAAGCATCTGTTTCCATTCATTCCAGACTGTGTGCCCTGATACTGCTGGGTTCCTTTCCAGCGCTGACTAGGGGGCCAAGGAGCGGTTTTGCTGCTAAACATAGCATATATACCCAAGATGACATGGTCTGAATATGGATGGATGCGGGAAGGAGCCTTTTATGAACTTCCTTTAACTCATCTGGTTTTGCAGACAGTCCTCCGACTCAACTTACACAGTGTAATCAGCGGTTTTGCTCTGACGGATGGAATGTTCATCCATACTCTGTCTTGCTCCAAGTGAAACAGGAGAGTCACTGCTGTTTCTGACCGAGCAGACAGAGCCCCCGTTCCAGTCATTCTTAAACCTCGGAGCAGTCCCCACTTCCTTTCTCTTCCTTCATGATCAACAGTATCCCAGGGGTCACCAGCCTGATGCCCAGGGACCCATTGAGACCTTGTGCCTATAGGGTGCCCTCTCCCTGCTGAAATCAGGCTGGATAGAAGCCCCATCTAAGCTAGCTTGTTCTTCTTCCTTACAGTAGTGGTTGCTGTCCCATCAACAGCAGGGAAGCCAGATTCCATTGCCATTCCAATTACCTTTTGTATATGTCATGGGATTGCTCCATCTTGCCCTTCACCTAGGGCAAAGAAATGAGTTGGGCCAGCTCTGGAAATACTGCTTGTGGTACAATGGTGTTGCCTTGCTCTCCCCTCTTCACACACGGCCTGATACGTGAGCCTGTACAAGCAGCGGTTGAATTCACACGTAACAAAAACCTAGAACAACTTACTGCAACTGGGTGTGAATGAGCAGCATGCTGGTGCACAGTGATGCCTGGCTCCTCCCACTTTGCTCCTCCCAGGACGTAAGCTGGGTAAACGAACCCAGGGAGGCTGTGCTCACATTACTGCTTTAAAATGCAGCTGCGTCATTATATCTCTCAATTCGGATTGAAGTGGATTCGGGGTGGGGTGGGGGAACATATCAAAACACAGTATTTGTTTTTTTTTTTATAATTGATATTTATTAAGTTTTCAAAGAATAACAACAAAAATTTCCAAAAAAAAATTTAAGAATACAAAAAACAAAAATAGTACATAAACAAAAAAGAAAAGAAAACCCAGCTGCAAGGGGGAAAAAAAAGAGAAACAGAAAAACAAAAATATAAAGTCCTTTACAATCTCTATTGACTTCCTTTCTAGACTTCCTCCTCCTCCCCTCTTTTGTTTCTTAATTTTTAATTTTTACAGCAAATCCTTTCTGTTTTTCATAGCAATCTGTCATTACGTTTCCTTATTCTATTTTCCCTCTTGTCATATAAAAACTTTAAGACTCATAGCTTATATTCAATATTTACCAAATTCTTGCATCATTACCTTTTACGAATCATTTACCAATCCTTACTTAAGCCATGTAATTTCATTCAACATCCTTCAAACATTTGTAAGCATTCCCAATATTAAAAAATAAAAAGAAAAAAATAATAAGTCAAATTCAGTCCAGTCAGCTTCCAACCTCCCCTCCCCTGGACCCGGGATTGTCAGTCCTTTTAACCTCGATAATCCGGCTCCTTAACCTGGTTGTCTCGTATCCGAGGCCCTCAAGTCTCTTTCTTGCCCCTTTCGCCACTCTTGTTGATGATTCCTTTCCAGTCGTGGATGCTCCAGCAAGAAAATGCTTTTGACCCTTTGCAGCAAGTCCATCCCAAACCCATTGCCCAAGCCAGACAGCAAATAATACCACTTCAAATTTCCACAAAGCTTGGAGACTTCGGCTACTCCAATCCTCTGATAGCCCATCACTAGACTCGGAAGGTCCAAATAACCATATGGAGGGGGTCGATCCATCCCCCATTTCCAAATCTGACCACATTTCATCTTTCCGAATCTGGTTTGTCCCAAGTTCATTTATCAAGTTCAAAGGCTGATCTTGCCCGTCCAAAGGTCCCTCCATCTCTGAAGCCTCCGTCACTACAGCAGGTTCATATGCTTGTATAGCCTTTAACTGAATTTCATTTGTTTGCTGCTGTGCTCTGGTAACTTCCATCATCAAGGTCGTCTCCTGACGCATCTGGTCCAGCTGGGCACTTAGTTTTGAAAAACCTTCCAGGAACAATTGTTCAAGCCTTTGTACTAGCATTGTCCTTCAAGGTCGAAGAAAATTCTTTCCCACGACAATAGTCCAATAGTCCTTCTCTTTTAATCTCTCTGCGTTGCAATTTCACTAAATTCCACTAGATGGAAATTTTTTTTTTTAAAAAGGAATAAAAGCAACAGCAACAATCTTTCTTTTTCCAGAAACACTTTATCCAAAATTCCCCCTTCCAAATTCAAGAGGCAACAGTAGAATCAAAATGTTACCCTTCTTTTAACTAACTGTCGAGCTGGATAAACTTCAGAACGTCAATTCTGACAGCCCGCTCCTGGTTCAGGGCGGTGGAAAATTGCTTTATTTTAAACTCACTTCCGCAGGATTGAAAAGTCCAAATACAACCCCCTTCTTCTCCTGCAGTCACAGGGGGTTCAGAAATCTTAGATGTTGAATTCTAGTTCTCTTAGAATTTAATTTTCAAGCTTTAGTATATTTTGTCTTTGCTTTCTTCACATAACAAAAGAACGGAAGGCGACTTCCTGTTTAGACCTTCCCATTCCGAGTCCCAATTAAGTTCAATTTCAAGTCCAATATTATTTGTTTATTCACCAGTCTTAAAAGTGGTTCAACTCTTCCAAGATCAGGTACTCACGGATAGATATTTTAGATGCCAAATTGTCCAGGAAAAAGGCAGCGCTCCGATAACGGCAGTGCGGCTTTGCTGCACGGAGGAAGCAGTCGACTCACAGCACCACGCACCTCCACTCCGGAGCCCGTTACCGGGCTCCTGTACAGGGGAGAGAGCGCTCTTGGTGCCCGCCGAGTCCCACGTCCACAGGCTTCTTCCGCCTGTGGTTTTTAAGGGTCCCCGCTGCGCCGTAGCGGCAGGACCCAAGCCTCCGTGCAGCGGGTTCCCTTCAGTCCGAAGGGAATTCCGCCATTTTCCGGAGGCGCCACCCCGGAAGTCCTCAAAACACAGTATTTGGACTCAGCTACATTGGCAAAGAAAAAACAGTTTATATGCGTTGTTTATGTGTTCTTAACACTGTGACACCAGATGGCGCTGTGGAGTTCCGTTTTTGCCAACCCGATTTCTCATTCAAAGTTCGCAACGCGTTTAAACTGAAACGCTTCTTTGATGTGTCTAGATCCAGACTCTCTTAAGAAACAACCAAGTAGACACAGGATTGATATGGATTGTGCGTTATATTGTGTGTGTATTGCTTCCCAAGCCAGCAGTGAGAGCGCACTTGATGCAAAGTAAACAACAGTGTATACACAGCCAAA